CCTCCCCTGAGAGTCACAGCGGGGAAGGGGGACAAACCCTTGAATCAAGACAGCTCTGTGTCTGGCTAAAGGGCCAGCCCTCCTGTGCCGCTTCTTACGGCCGAGGAGAACCTGTATCCGGCCGCCTCCAACAGCTCAGGGCGGGGGCTGGGGATTTAGCTCAGCGGCAAAGCGCCTGCCTGGCAAGTGCAAGGTCGTGAGTTCGGTTCCCGGTACCAGAGAAAAATCCAACAGCTCAGGGCTTCTGCGCAGCGACCGCCTGCTGTGTCAGGACCCGCCCTGAGGTCCGCCGCTCCCATACGGTGAGGAGGGAAAATGTTGCGGCAACACAGCGCCATCTGCCGGGAACCTTGCAAACTACCAGCTCCGGGTGGTGGACAGTTGGGACACTAACTCCGGGTGCACAGTTGGGCACCTTGCAAGCTACGAGCTCCGGTCAATAAAACACCTTTGTTTTCCACGAGGTCACAGCTTCCTGAAGCGGAGTTTATCGTCCTTGTCGTGGTAAAGGGCGAGTACCGCCAGGAAATAATCATAGAGCAGGAAACGAAGGTGGCAACGTCCAGTCTACTTCCAGGGTCTGAGCTGTCTTTCTTTCTTTTTTTTTTGCTTTTTGAGACAAGGTCTCACTATGCAGTTCAGGCCGACCTTGAGCTCACTTTGTAGCTCAGGCTGGCCTCCAACTCGAAACTATCCTCCTGCCTCAGCCTCCCGAGTGCTGGGATTACAGACGTGCCTCACGGCACTTGGCTGAGAAGTCATGTCGATCCCTGTCAGTTACATGTATCCCTTTAGGACATTTTCAGGTATTTAAGAATGAACCAAAAAGCTTTTTTTCCCTTTCCACTTAAGTGTATTACTTTTCAAGCAACTACTAAGTTGTTAGGGTACGCTTACTTACTAGTTGTGTTGATGTGACTACTTACTAAATAACTGCTTGCTTTTTTGGGGAGTGGTGGTGGTAATACTGGGGATTGGACCCAGGGCCTTCACACTGAGCTACATCTACAACACCCTCCCCCCCATATCACTAAGTCACTAAGTTGCCCAGGATAGACTTGAACTTGTGATCCTCCTGCCTCAGCCTCCCAGAGTGCTGGGATCATGGGTGTACACCACCATGCCAGGCTTACTGTTCGCTTTTCTTGGGGTTGGTGGTGGAATGGTTAGGGACACCATGAAAAATGACTGAGATGCTAAGAGTGCCTTGAACCTAGAAAGTTTGGGATCTCTGCATCACACTCTTTACAAAAAGTTGTTTCCCACAATCCCGTGAGATCCATACTTGCATTTTCTAGCGAGCCAAGAAAGACGTGCAGCTCACTTGGCGGCCGCCACCAGCGGGGACAGTGGGCTGGGGCGGGCAGTGTAATTCAGACCAGATCCTGAGTGACTGTCAAGAATGCAAGCTGCCTCCTTGGATGGAGCACAGGGTATGAGAACCCAGGCGCAGAAAGACAAATGCTGCATGTTTCCCCTCACGAAAAGTCGATCCCACAGAAGCAGAGCAGAGGGGTGGTTACCAGGGGCCGGGAGAGCGGGCGTGGAGAGGAAGAAGGTGGCTCTGAGGGACTGGGCCGCCCTCTCGCTGCTCCAAGCCTCCGTCTGATCCCCTGTGGCTGGGGCGGTGGCAGATCCTCACCCAGAGCTGCTCTGAGAATTCAGTGCAGGACTACAGCGCGGTGCAGAACCGGTGTGCATGGTGTCTCAGTCCCTGCCGACGGCTATATCCAGAATCCCTGAGAGTGGGGAGTCTGCAATAAGCAGAAATGTATCTGGTCTGTGCTTTTGGAGGAGGGGTGGCGTCCGGCTGAGAGGATTCTCAGTGTACTGTCCGAGGCAGAAGGCAGGAGGGCAAGAAAGGGTGAGCTCAAGCGAGCAAAGGGCAAAGGAGCTTTTGTGAGGGGTCTGCTCTCTGGACAGCTGACCCACTCCAGAGGAGACACCTACCCATCGGCTCTGCAAAGCCTCAGGACCCAGCACTGTTGCTTCAGACATTAAGTTTCAGATGTGTGACCTCTGAGGGAGACATTTGAACCATAGCACACCGGGTCCCATCCCAGCACGGCTCCCCTCAAACAAAACAAAAAACACAACACTCGGTGAGTTGCAATGTAAAGAGCTACCCATTTAATGGATATTTATTGAGCATCTATTATGTATACATGAGACAATGCACTAGATTCTGGGAATGTAGCAGTGAACAAGGCAGAAAAAAGCTCTTTCCCGGTGCGGCTGATGTTTTTCTTTTTCTTTTTTTTTTCTTTTGAGACAGGGTCTTGCTGTACAGTTCAAACTGGCTTTGAACTCACCATATAGCCTATGCTGGCCTCAAGCTCATAGGTGATCCCCCTGCCTCAGCCTCCTGAGTGCTGGGATTACAGGTGTGCACCTCACACCTGGCAGGGCTAATGTTCTACCAGGTAATAAACAGTCAACATAATGCATAAGTAAATCTTTGAGTAATAGTGCCGAATACTGTCAGCCACATATATAATTTTATTTATTATTTTGTGGTGCTGGAGATTGTGTGTGCTAGGCAAGTGTCCTACTATTGAGCTTCACCCCTAGATACAAAGTAAAATTAACATGTAATTTAAAGATTTCCAGTAGCATCGTATAAAAGATAAAAAGAGGTAGGCATGGTGATGCATACCTGTAATCTCAGCTACTCAGGAGGCTGAGGCAGGAGAGTTGCAAATTTGGGTCCAGCCTAGGAAATTTAGCCAGATCTTGTCTCAAAAACAAGCAAACAAACAAAGAAACAAGGCTGAGGATGTAGTTCAGTGATAGAGCACTTTCTTATCGTGTGAAAGGCCCTGGATTCCATCCTCAGCACTGCAAAACTAAAACAAAAAAAGATGAAGATATTTAATTAAAATTATTTTAAGTTTATTTAAAGAACTATACATATATTTTGGTACCAGGAATCAAACTCAGGACCTTGCACTTGCCAGGCAGGCACTTGTGCCACTGAGCTATATCCTTGGCCCCTAAAACTGTATCTATAATAAAATTGAAATTAAATATAATTTGAAATTATTTTAAAGTTAAATTTTTTTGTGTATGTGGTACTGAGGGTTGAACCCAACAGCACTCTACCACTGAACTACATCCCTAGCCACCCCTCCAGCCATTTTTTTGAGATAGGGTCTGGCTAAATTGTCCAGTTTGGCCTAAAACTTGTCATCCTTCTGCCTCAGCCTCCTGAGAAGCTGGGATTACAAGCCTGTGCTAACACATGTAGCTACTTTAAATTTTTTATTTCTTTGATTTTTTCTTTTTTTTAAATTTGAGACGGGTCTCACTACTTGGTTCAGGCTGGCCTGGAACTCATGGTGATCCTCCTGCCTCAGCCTCCCAAGTGCTGGAGTTATAGGCATGTGCCACCTTGTCTAGCTTGATTTGTATTGTTGAGACAATACAATGTACTGTTCAATGTAGCTATGCAGTCTAGGATGGTCTTGAACTCCTTTGATCCCTTTTTCTCAGTTGCCAGGCCTGGGATTACAATCTTGTCACGCCTGGCGTAATTTTGGAAATGTAAACATTAAACCAGTATATCCAAAATACTGTCATTTCACAAGGGGCATCAGCCATGTTCCAAGTCCTCAACAGTCACATGGGGCTGACGGCTACTGTACTGGATGGTACAGGTGTCAAGGGTACAGGAAGCTAAGAAATCCTGTGCAAAAATGAAGTTAATTTGGGCTAGGGTTCCATGGAGCACCCTGGACATGGAGGGGACCATAGTTAACCAGTCTTTCTTCTCTGCCCTCCTGGTTTGACTTTTCCAGCCGATGGCTCCTAGCTCGCAGATGCCTGAAAAATCTGTACCCTTATCCTTCAGAAAGTTTGTGGCTTAGGGGTAGCCCCTCAGCACCGCTGCTTTTCTAAGAAATGATGTGTGTCCTCTGCTCCTGGGCTTGGGGTGCTCTCCCTTGAGGAATGCTGTCAGGCTTTTGGCTGCAAGAGGGAAGGACTGGGTGAGGTGAGTAAGGGTTGGGCCTGTCTTTATTTAAAAGTTTGATATGTTGTTCATCACAGATTTATTTACTGTAATGTAAAACTTAAAAAAAAAATCAAGCCACATGCCATCAAATCTGGCCTCCTAAAATGTACAAGTGAGTGGTTTTTCATATATTTCCAGAATCCTGCAACACTCACCACAATCAGTTCTAGAATGTACTAGTTTTTGATTTTTGTTTTTTTGGTACCGGGAATCGAACTCAGGACCTGGCGCTTGCCAGGCAGGCGCTTGTGCTACTAAGCTATATCCCCGGCCCAATCTTTTCTGTTTTTGATTTTTTTTCTGGAATGTTCTATTACCCATGAATCAGCCATTGCCCATTCTCATCTCCCACCAGCCCCTGGGGCAGCCATGGAGCTACTTTCTCTATGCATTTGCCTACTCTGGTCATTTATGTAATGGAACGAGGTCTCTTGGGATGGTCTTCTTTCACTTAGCACAGTGTGTTGTGACGTGTTTCAGGACCAAATAATCCACTTTTCTTTTGTGCCAGTATGGGGATTGTCCCAGGCCTTTGTGCCCAATAGGCAGGTGCTTCACCACTGAGCCACATCCTAGGGGTTGTACACGTTTTGAATCAGGGAATCTCCCTGAGTTGACCAGGTTGGCCTTGAACTTGTGATCTTCCTGCCTCAGCCTTCCAAGTAGATGGGATTACACGCGTGGGGGGCATACCTGGCTTGAATAATATCTTTACTCAAGATATGGATAGGCCACACGTTATCCATTCCCGTGTTGATGGGTATTTGTGGTTTTCCCCCCATTTTTTGGGCTACCTGAAGGCTGCTGCTGTAAAGGTTTGGGTGGACATGTTTTTCATTCTTTTGGGTTTAGTATTAATTTTATTTTATTTTTTATTTCTTTATTTTTTGTGTTTTTGAGACAAGGTCTCACTATGCAGTTCAGGCTGACCTTGAGCTCACTTTGTAGCCCAGGCTGGTCTCGAACTCTCAAGGATCCTCCTGCCTCAGCCTCCCGAGTGCTGGAATTACAGGTGTGTGCCACCACGCCTGGCTTAATTTTAATTTTTAAAATATATGTCACCCAGAAGTCTCGAATAAGAAAGTTTTTTGGGTGTCCCTTAAGATTTGTAGCTGGGACAACCTAGTCCCACACCCTGCAAGTCCTGTCTCTTGCTGCTTTGGGGGAGTTGTTCTGCCTCTCAGAACCTGGATTTCCTCCTGTGTAAAAAAAGAGAGGCAACCAACCCCTGTACCTATGCTCAGTCCTAGGAGGCTATAACGAAGATGCACATCTCAGACCCAGGACAGGCTCTGGTGCACAGCAGCTTTACTCGGATTTATACGGGGAGGCCTGGTGTTAGGCCTGGGTTTGGTGAGAGGGTCCCAAAATGGCGGTGACCTAGCTCTGCCCTTGGGAGCTGGCCCAGCGGCCTCAAACTTCCTGCTGCTTCTCCTGAAAGAAAGGCTTTTTTTCCCCCACTCCCGGCCTGGGCCTGATGACCCCACAAGGCCCTTGGGGGTGGAACCCACGGCTGCTCGCTGTGGCCTCCCTGGCTCCCAGCACCTTCCATCCCGGCTGCCCAGGCCGCCTCCGCCTCCCCGCCCCTCTCCCGCTGGCGGAGGCCATGGCTCCTGGGCTGCCATGAGGCCTGCTCTGCAGGGCTGAAGTCCAAAGTTCAGTCCCTTGCTAAGCACACGGATAAATATGAACCTTGGAGAATTTCCCCAGCTCCAATGTAAATAGAGCAGGCAGGGGCCCTGATTCACCGGCCTCTGGGGCCAGGGTTGGGGGTTGGGGGTGCCCAAGGGCTTGGCTAGTGGGGTTTGGGGGGGCAGTGGGTGCAAGGAGCCTGGCTTGTGACTGCCAGCCGACCGGCAAGTAGACGGCCTGCGCGGTGGGTGGGGGAGGCGGCCAGCCCGGTGGCCCCGGGCCGCGTGGCCGCTGGTGGCCGAGCCATGGTTTCTAAACTGAGCCAGCTGCAGGCAGAGCTCCTGGCGGCCCTGCTCGAGTCGGGCCTGAGCAAAGAGGCGCTGATCCAGGCCTTGGGCGAGCCGGGCCCCTACCTGCTGGCTGGAGACGGGCCCCTGGACAAGGGCGAGAGCTGCGGCGGGAGCCGAGGGGAGCTGGCCGAGCTGCCCAATGGGCTGGGGGAGACGCGGGGCTCCGAGGACGAGACGGACGACGATGGGGAAGACTTCACACCGCCCATCCTCAAGGAGCTGGAGAACCTCAGCCCCGAGGAGGCCGCCCACCAGAAAGCGGTGGTGGAGACCCTTCTGCAGTAAGGCCCCCTCCCCCGCCCTCCCCGGCCCCAGGAAGGAGCCCGCGGCCACCCTGCGCTCCTGCCCACTCTGCCCCTCTGCGGGGTCCCAGTTCCCAGCCCGGCCGCAGGAAGTGGGGATGTTCTGCCCCAGGGAAGCTCCGGGCTGGAGGGAGACGTACAAGGGTCCACAATTCAAACGCCAGGAGGTGGTGGAGAACTAGCTACCGAGGCCATCTGTACTCCCCACATTCTAACTGGGCTGCCGAATGCTCAGATTGTAACTCGGGGGGACCAGGAAGCACTGCTAGGCAGCGGGGCTGAGGCTGGGGCTTGGGGGGCTTCCCTAGGCCCCCTGGGACTCAAGCACTTGGAGGCTGGGAAGCCCAGGTCTTTCTTACCTGAGGCAGACAGATGGAGGCTGGGTGGGGGCTGCTCCCTCTTCCTGGTGGCCACAGGTCCCCCACTTGGCCTTTAGGCTGATTAGAAGCCTCCCCATTCATCCTGTACCCCTTTGCTGTCCTGTACCCCATCTGCTGGCTGGCTCCCCATCTCCTCGGTGAGAACTGGGTGGGTCCTGAGCTTGATGCCTCCCCTCTCCTCAGCAGAGCTGACCTGGTTACTAATTACCCATGTACTTTATTATTTCTCTTTTGTTTTATAAATTTATAAACGGCAAAAGGCTCTGATAAGGCCTGTGATCATTAACCTGCAGGGACAGTGGCCTGGAGAGGCCTGGGCCAACCAACCTCCCACCCAGTGGGGGTGGAGGGTGAGGACCCTGGGGTGGGAGGAGTGGGACCTGGGGGCCTCGGGGACTGCTCTTCTCTAAAGGTCCCGTAGCCTTCGTCCCCACAGCTGCATCTTTGCAAAGCTTTAGCGCTTGCTGTTGAGACTTCCTGTGTCAAAAGGCCCATAGTGCTCAGAGGAGTCCTGGGAGGTAGCTGTTGAGAGTCCTGCTTCACAGATGGGGAAACTGAGGCTTAGGTGGGAAAGGAGCTCTGTCAGGGGCCTGGGGCCCGCGCAGGGCGGGGTGTGTGGCTGAGGAGCTGGAGAAACTGCACCAAGGTGGCTCAGTGTGTGGGGGACCTATCTTTTCTGTCCAAGGTCCTGATCCCGGCTTGCTGTGGGGGAGGGCCGGTGGACCCTGGCCTTCCCAGAAGTGTCCGGGAGTCTCCGGAGGCCCGGGACAGGGGGCAGGGGAGCAGTCAGGCCCCCTGGCTTGGCAGGGAGAGGAGGGCAAAGGGCTTCTGCACTGCAGGGGAGGGGCAAAGGGCCAGGCCTCGGCAGACCCAGGGCGACCTGGATGGGGTGGGGCTGGGCCTGGCCTGCTTGGGGCCCAGGTGGGACCGGGGGGCTTCGGGGTGCAGATGGAGGGAAGGGGTGCCAAGGGCGGTCTTACCTGGTTGGGTGGGGCCCCTTTGGTGGGGTGGTGGGATGGGGGAGGCTTGGTCTTCAGCATTCGAGAGGGGGAGCAGAGGTCAAAGTGCTCCTGGGGACTGGCAGAGACCTGGAGGCCGAGGCGGAGACTGAGGGGAGCGGGAGGAAGAGAGAGGAAGAGGAGAAGATGGACAGCGAGGGAGGAGAAGCCGGGCAGGCAGGGAGCCCCGGGGGAGAGGGGCTCAGACCCAGCGGGGAGAAGGGGCAGGGGAGAGAGTGAGGCGGCCAGGCAGGGAGGAGGCTGGGTTTTCTTTAATGCTAACAGCATGCTATTTACTTTCCATTTAAATTTGAGATGTTGCTATAAATTATCAACCAGCTCCTTGTTCCTGTAGAGTTTATAACTAACTACCTGGGTTACTTATTGTTCAGGTAACAAAGGGGATCTGAAAAATGCCCCAGGGATAAAAGTGGGGCTTTGAGCCCTGGGGCAGGGGAGGGCACCCCGGGGAGAGGGCTGGGGAAGGGGGCTGGGGAGTGGGGAGGTTGAGGCTGGAGAGATGCTATGGACACAAGTCACAAGGCTGGAGAGGACAGTGTCTGGGAAGAGGCAGGAGCAGGTCTTGAACCCCAAGTCTCCCAGGGGGTGCCCCATTTTTTGTCTTTTTGAGACAGGGTCTCACTATACAGTTCAGGCTAGCCTTGAGCTCACGTTGTAGCCCAGGCTGGTCTCAAACTCCCAACGGTCCTCCTGCCTCAGCCTCCCGAGTGCTGGGATTACAAGCATGTGCCACCACGCCCGGCTAGGGGTGCCCCATTTTTGAGGCCACAGCAGGAGCTTGAATTCTCTCCTCAGAGCTCTACCCTTAATCCAGAGAAGAGACTTCAGGCAAGTCTTTTCCCCTCTTCTGCCTGAGTTTCCCAGCATAGACAGTGAATAAAATCCCAGCTCCCTGCCTTAGTGCTATCCCTACTGGCCCACCAACTCCCTTGACATCTCTCCTCCTCATTGACTTTCTTCCTTTTGCACTGGCTTTGCTATCCCTTAAGACCCGGGCTGATTCTTACCTCAGGGCCTTTGTGTGTGCTGCTTGCCCTGCTCCAAACCCTGTTTTCCCAGTCCCAGCTTGTCCCTTTCCAGCTCAGGCAGCTGGTTTCCGTTTCCTGAGCCTTAGTTTCCTCTGCAAAGCAGAGATGAAACTAACAGAGCATTAAATAGCATGATACTTGCAGAGCTGCGTATGCAGTATGGGCAATAAATGGTTGCTGGCCCTACTATTTTAGGCAGCCCCATTTTACAGAATAGCAAGTTGAGGCTCAGAGAGGCAAAGTGACTTAGCCAAGGTAACTGTTCCGAGTAGCAAGTGCACATTTGTCTGTAGGTTTACACCCCCATCATTCTTGCTTTTCAACTCCAGCGGCACCCACCTCTTTACAGTGCTTGAAAGCTCATGAAGGGCTTACAAATGCACACACCTCGTTTTCCTTCTTGACAGTCTCTGAAACGTGAAATATCTTCAGCCCTGTCTCACAGACGAGGAAACTGAGGCACAGAGAGGTTAAGTAACTTCCCAGGGCTGCTCAGATGGTGGGTGGCCATGCTGGAATTCGAACTCGGATCTAAGACCCCCGCCATGAGAATCTGGCTCTTCCTTCAGAGCAGCGGCCATGACTTTGGACCCCACAGAGCAAAAGCCCCCAGACCATGGCTACTGATTGGCCTGGCTGGGGGCAGATGAGAGGCAGGGTAAGGGCAGAGCTTCATGCTTCCTGGGCTCTTCTGTGGGGCTGGGGGCCACAGGCTGACACTGCTGGTGAGGGTGATGAGGCCGAGGACAGCACTGTCCACTACTAAGCCCTAGGACAAACCCCAGCCGGCTGCAAACTCTCCGTCCCCGTTTGGAACTCCTTTAATTCTCTGGAGAGCAGCATGGGTGGACGTGGATTTACCCCACGTATAGGCAGATGGCTCATGGGAAATCTTCCCTGGGGCTTTGGCCTCTTAGTTTTGAGTTGGGGAAGATGGGAAGATGTCATGCGTGTGTGTGTGTGTGTGTGTGTGTGTGTGTGTGTGTGTGAGGGAGAGACAGAGAGAGACAGAGAGAGACAGAGAGAGACAGAGAGAGACAGAGAGAGACAGAGAGACAGACAGACAGAGAGCCTGTTTCAGTAAATTCTACAAAAACACATGACTTCTTCCAGAAAAGGGGAAGACAGATCCTCTTGGCTTTTTGTCCGCTCCCTGGCATTTTAAATTCACTTTTGTTGCTGTGAATTTGTTGTCCAGCTCTACTAGGAACTGTCTGAAAAGTCACGTTCCCAGGAGCTCACTTGAATCACTTGACCACTTTCGCTTCCCATTTTCCCGTCCAGGTACCTGAGTGGTCTTTGTAATAAGCGTAGCAGTGTCGTAGTGCCTGTCGGCGGAGGGTGGCTGGGCTTGGTTTTATCTCATCTGACCTGTTGACCTGGTGTGTATGTGAGAGAGAGAGAGGCAGGGAGGAAGGGAGACAGAGAGAGAGAGAGAGAGAGAGAGACAGAGGGAGAGAGAGAGAGGATGTGAATGAGAATATAACTACCCAAGGGACAGCGGCAGGAAGTGAATCTGTAGTCTGGGCCTAGAGGACAAGCCTGACACCTTGGCAGTCACCCTCTGTGGAAAGGAGAGGGGGAGGGGAGGCAGGAAGGCGATGGCGGCGGCTGGGCAGGAGGGAGGCCATCAGATAAACATGTTTGCTGGAAGCACAGGCTGGACTTTGGACTGCCCTTCCTGCCTAGCTCTGACTCCTAGCTCTGACTGGCACCTGGGAGCGGGCAGGTGGGGAAGAGAGGCGCCCAGGAGAGCCGGAAGGCAGGAGAAAGAGAAGCTGGGAGAGGCCTTGGGGGTCCCAGCAACACAATACATACCTATTTTTTTCAGTACTGGGGATTGAACCCATTGATGCCCTATCGCCACACATATCCCCAGCTTTTTAAAATTCTGAGACAGGGTCTCAGTAAGTTGCCCAGGCTGGCCTTGAAGCTGTGATCCTCCTGACTCAGCCTCCCAGAGTGCTGGGAGTGCAGGCATGTGGCGCAAGAGCCAGCTAGGTCACCTTGGACAAGTGACTTCACCTTTCCCTCTGAGCCTCAGTTTTCTCACCTGCAGAGTGGGCAACCGTGTCATTCTTCCTTCCTAAGATCACCGTGACATTTAAATAGCCAGCCTGCAGCACGGTGCTGGCTGAGCAGATGCTCCAGGACCATTGTAGCTTGTGTGTCCTCTGGTGTATCGTGCATACACAGACGGTACGGGGGAAGCCTCTTTGCCTTCCAGATACCGGACGAACCTCGGCCTGGCCGCAGGCAGCACTCCCGCCGTGGGGCATACAAGGGAGGTCCCGCGATGTCACAGGCGGGTTTTGCTGGGTGCCCTGGTTGTTGCTAGTCTCAAGGTGTGGCAAGCAATGAACAGCATGTGCCATTTGTCACATGGGCAAATATCAGAAGGCTCTGATTCTAGAAGCAGATTTCTGGGTCAAGCAGGCAGAGGTGAACACAGGCTTTGGCATCACACAAACCTGCGTTCAAATCCCAGGTCAGGGCGGGGCCTGGTGGTGCTCATCTGTTATCCCACTACGCTGGGAGGCTGAGGCAAGAGGATTGCAAGTCTGAGTCATTTAGCGACGTAGCAAGAACTTGTCTCAAAATAAAAATAAAAAGGGCCGGGGATATGGCTCAGTGAGAATGCCCTAGGTCCAATTCTCAGTAATGTACATACACCCCGCTCCCAGCCAAACCCCCTCAGTTCTTCCTGCTTTAGCACTGCTGTTCTTTGATACATGCCTGTCTCTGAGGGGTGGGGTGGGGAGTCTGAGAGAGTGGGAGAGGAAGAGAGAATTTACAGTGTACTGTGCATACACTGCGAGGCCTTCCGGTCCCTACTGGGAGACGCGCACATAGCAAAGGACGGGGACGTGAGTCACAGAGGCCTCCAGTCCCTTGCGTCGCTCTCCTGGAAGAATCTCTGCACAGAATGAGATTCTCGTGCTCAAACACATGCAGTGTTGATACAGTGAGGCCTCTGAGTGCCAGCCCTAACCCTGTCACCTGGGCTCCACAGGAAAACAGCTGCCTGCCCCCAGCTTCGGGAAACCAGCAGGGCTGCTGCCTCAGGCTCAGCGCCCACTGCCAGGCCTTCTGATCCTGTGTGATTTTTGCCTGATTGGCTGACTTAGACCTGAGTCCCTTTCGATGGTGTAGGAATCCGGGAGACTGGGCCTGTGACCCTGAGTGAGAGACGCAAGTGACACAAGCTTTTTAAGCTTCAGCGGGCCTGGCTGTAAATGGGGACAATCCACATTTTTCTGTTTTTCTTTTTATTGTGTATGCACGGCACTGGGGATCAAACTGAGGGGTGCTCTGCCACTACATCCTCAGCTCTTCTAGTTTTTATTCTGAGACAGACTTGCTAAATTGCCCAGGTGGGACTTCTACTTGAGATCCTCTTGCCTTGGGTTTATTATAGGTATGAATCACCAGGCCTGGCTCTCTGTTTTTCTTTTTCCAATAAGTTTCCCCCATGCATCCATCCATCCATCTCCACCTCACCCCCCATCTGTCCACTCTCTTCAGTACTCAGCAATGGCGCAGTCTATGTCAGGCCCATTTTGGGCACTGCGAACCAGACCATTGCTGCCCTAAGGTGTTCCCCACTTCTCACAGTGGAGAAGACACATTTAAGATCCCCAGGGAGTGCCGGGCATGGTGGCACACCCTTGTAATCTCAGCACTGGGGAGGCAGAGGCAGGAAGATTGCTGCGAGTTCGAGGCCAGCCTGGGCTACAAAGTGAGCTCAAGGCCAGGCTGAACTGCATAGGGAGACCTTGTCTCAAACACACACACATACACACACACACACACACACACAGATCCTCAGGTAGGATGGGGAGGAGCTTTAATGGAGGTGCCCAGGTGAAGTCTCACCCACCCGGGGTTGCCCAGGCTCAGGCGGGGGTCTCGTCCTGTCCACGCATGCCCATGTGTTTGTGCGTCCGCGGGGTTGTGCCTCCGCCCTCTATTCCCGAGTCCAGGTGAGGCTCCTGGGCTCCGTAACCGTTTTTACTGGCAATGCCCACGCTCAGGACTGACGCCGGCTCAGGAACCCAGGATGCCAGCCTCGGGATGCGTGAGTACTCGCCTAGCCGACCCGGTCCTTGTCCTCCTTGCAGGGAGGACCCGTGGCGCGTGGCGAAGATGGTCAAGTCCTACCTGCAGCAGCACAACATCCCGCAGCGGGAGGTGGTGGACACCACCGGCCTCAACCAGTCCCACCTCTCCCAGCACCTCAACAAGGGGACCCCCATGAAGACGCAGAAGCGCGCCGCCCTGTACACCTGGTACGTCCGAAAGCAGCGAGAGGTGGCGCAGCGTAAGTACCCCCCAGCCGGGTCCTCCCTGCAGGGGTCGGGCCTCTCCTGACTCAGGCGGGGCTGGGACTCCACCCATTACACAGACAGGGAGAGGGAGGGGAAATCAGTGGGATTGCGCCCACGTCCACGGCCTGTCCATGCCCCACCTTCCCCACCACACCCCCGGGAAAGCTAGTGTTTCTGGAGCACTTACTTTGCACCAGGCCCAGTGCAGAGCATTAAAGTCTCTCTAAGTGGTGAGCACCGCGGTGGGAAGGGTGATCTGCTCCACTTCAGGGACACAGAGGTTCAGGAAGGTTCACACGCTGGAAGCATAAACTTTAGATTAGGTCTTAAAGTGTCAGTCAAATTTTGACCTATGGAGACGCAGGGAAGGATGCTCCAAGCAGGAGGAACAGCGTGAGTAAAGGCTCAGAGGCAAGGCTCTTTCAGAGGAGGCTGGATCTGGAGTGTGTGACTGATTCATGGTGCAGTGCTGGGAACTAAGGGTGTTAGGACTAAGGGTGGGTGATTAGTACATCAGTCCACTGATTGGTTTGGCACTTCCCTCATCCTGGTAGCCTGGAGACAACATAAGGGACGGGAAGAGGCTTGTCTTGCTCCTTGTTGCTTTGCTGTCTTCTGCCTGCCATGAACTCTTTGTCCTCTGCCATTCCGCCCTGCCTTGGAGCCAGCCAATTATGGACTGAAACCTCCACAAACTGTGAGCTAAATAAACCTTTCCTCCTTTAACTTTGGGTGTCAGGTATTTTATATCAACGGTGAGAAAAGTAACTGAGATACTCATTAAGTCAAACTTGAATCCTCCTGCCTCAGCCTCCAAGAATGTACCAGCGTGCCTAGCTAAAACTTTTTTGACATTTAAAATTTTTCCATTTTTAAAATGGTTCTGGGGATTGAATTCAGGGGTGGGGATGGAACTCAGAGTCTCATGCATATAGGCAAATGCTCTACCCCTGAGCTATACTCCCATCCTTTTTAAAAATCTGTATTTTGAGACAGAGGCCTTATTGATTTGCTCAGGCTGGCCTCGAACTTGTGATCCTCTCACCTCAGCGCCTCCCCTTCTCCCAGTAGCCAAGATTCTAAGCACATATCACCTACTGACTAAGTTTCCAGTTTTTGGAAAAAGCAAATAAATACTTGCTTTAAGAAAGAGAAGAGCCAGGCATGGTGGTGCATGTCTGTAATCCCAGCACTCTGGGAGGCTGAGGCAGAAGGATGGCTAGTTTGTGCCCAATTTGGGCAAGTTAGTGAGGTAGTGAAATCCTGTCTCAAAATAAATAAAAAGAGCTGTGGATGCAGCTCAGTGTGAAAGTGCTGGGCTCAGTCCCTAGTACCAAAAAATGAAACCCTTTCCCCCAAAAACGCAACAACAGAACAACAACAACAACAACAAAAACCCAACAAACAAAAACAAAGCAAAACCAAATAGGTATCCTGCCCCTAAAGCAGCCATGGCGTCTCTAGGCTGTCCGATCTCCTTCCAGAGAGAGTTTATGCACACACTGCCTGTAAGATAGAGGTTTTTTTTGTTGTTGTTGTTCGTGGGAAGACAGTATACACAATGTTTGGCACTGTGCTTTTTTTCTCAGCAATAAATCTTGTACATCTTTTCACATCAGTATTGAGAGATTGGTTGACTTTACTTGCTTTAGGGGCTACTGGCTGTCATTTGCAGGTGCCATGATTTCTTTAACTGGTCACCTACCAAAGGACCTTTGGGGCCTTTCTGATCTGTGATTGTAAAGAGCATCTGTATCTATACGAGCCCATGCTCACAGATGAGCCTGTCTGGAGGAGAAATTCTTAGAGGTGAAATGCTTGGTCACAGAGGCAATACTGCACAGTCCTGTATAGATACAGGAATGGCAGAGCATGTCTATGATCTGTTACTTTGGAGGCTGAGGCAGGAGGATTGCAAGTTCAAGGCTAGCCTGGGGAACTTAGTGAAACTTTGCTTCAAAAGAAAAAAAAAGCAGGGCTGGGGATGTAGCTCAGAGGCAGAGCACTTGCCTGGCATGCATAAGGCCCTATGTTTAATCCCCAGCACTGAAAAAAAAAAGGTGGTACCAATGTATACATCCATGAAGAGTGTAGATCATGTTAAACAATTAATATGAAACATGTAATTAATATATAAATAAAAATTACTAGTAATATTTATATTATATATATTATAATAGAGCTTTCTTTCTTTTTTTTGAGACAGGGTCTCACTAGATAATCTAGACTGGCCTTGAACTCACCATATAGCCCAGGCTGTCATCGAACTCATGGCAATCTCCCTGCCTCAGCCTCCTGAGTGGTGGGAATTACAGGAGTGTGTCACACGCCCCATGGAGGGTTCACTTTCAACTGAAAGTGATACACGCTTCGAAAAATAGTACATAACAGTACATTCTGGTACTGTTTTCATTTGTATGGGAAGAAACAATAAATATTTATTTTGAAAATCTGTTAGACTAGGCTTAGCTTCTGAGAGAATCTGATGATCTTCTCTCAAAACTATCACTGGAAGAAAATTTACAATATTGCATAAAGTACATTTTTCCTTTCTAACAGTTGTAAATGTAATCGAAGATTTCAGCCTAGAGTCAAGAAGAAAGAAGCAAACTGTGCCCCAAATCTCTACCTCCTGAAAATTTTTCACTTGAAAAGAGAAATTGGAAGATTTGAGATGCGGCATATTCAAAATATGCCTGAATGATTAGAACTCTTTCAGTAACAAGGGTCAGAACCCCAATTCAAGTGGATTTAAACAACAACAGCAACAAAAAAGAATCTATTGGCTCATGAATGTGAGTCCAGGGCAGATTCAGGCGTGGCTAGATCCAGGGGTTCAGATGATGTCTGCACAGAGCTGCCATCCTACCGGCCTTGCAACCCCAGAGGGAAAAGAATTCCTCTTTTCAGATACCTCAGTTAAATGGACTCTTTCTATTTTTAATAACGTAAACTTTTAAATGAAGTCTAACATAGAAAAAGTGCACAAACATTAAACATACTGCTCAATGAATTTCACAAACCGAGCACACCAAATGTAACTACCAACCTGATAAAAAATGCATAACCGGCTCCCCAGCAGCCCCATCTCTACTCAGTAGGATTAATCAATAATCCTGACTTCTGTCATCATAGGCTAATTATGGCTGTTTTTGAAGTTTATACAAATTGAATTACATAGTACAGTGGCTTCTTTCGTCCATATTATGTTGGTGGATTCACTCATGTGGCTCCTTGTCATTATAGATTGGCCATTCTCATTGCTGTGTGTGAATATTCCATTGTATGGATACAATATATCATTATTTCTTCTGCGATGGACGTTTGGATTGCTTCCGATTTGTTGCTATTGTGAACAGGGCTGCTATGAACATTTCAGTACATGGTTTTTGCTGAAGGTGTGTATACACTTCTTGTGGCTGTGGAATTGCTAAGTCAAAGAGTAGACATAAGTTTGGCTTTGTAGACACTGTTACATAGCTATCAATTCCAAGCAGCAGGATTGGAAACTTCTAGGTGCTCCTGGAATTTTGCCAGCACTTAGTAATGTCAGTCTTTTTCATTTCAGCCAGGATGGATGTGTGTTGGTTTTGCATGGTGGTTTTAACTTTCACTTCCTTTGTTTATTTTTATTTTTTGCAGTACTGAGGATTGAACCCAGGCCCTTTGCACTGGGCCACATTCCCAGCCCTTTTTGTTTTTTATTTTGAGACAGAGTCTAAGATAATAAGTTGCTTGGGCTGGGCTCAAACTTGTGATCCTCTTGCCTCAGCCTCCCAGAGTGTTGGGATTACAAGGATGACCACACCTGGTTTAACTCATTTCCTTGATAACTATGGTGGGTGTCTTTTTATATGGTCATTGGACATTTGGAGATCCTCTTTAGGAGTAATTAGTCAAAGAGTTTACTCATTTTTCTCCTAGGTTGTCTGCTTTTTTTTCCCCCGATTTATTTGTAGGAATTAAAAAAATACCCTGATTTAAAGTCCCTTTAAAAATATGTGCACTGCATATATATTCTCTCATTCTGTGGTTTATCTTATCCCCTCTAAACTTGATGTCATTTGATGAGCAGAGTTTATGAATTTTTAACTTTATAGTTAGAGCTTTCTGTATCCAGAAATCTTTCTGTATTTTGAAATCTTTGTCTAACCAAAGGTTGTGAACTTATTCTGCACTTAGTTTTATTTTACTTTTCACATTTAGAGCCACAGTCTAGCTGGAATTTTTTAAATTTTTTTTTTTTTTTTGTCTTTTTGAGACAGGCTTGTGCTATGCAGTTCAGGCTGGCCTTGAGCTCACTTTGTAGCCCAGGCTGGTCTTGAACTCACAATGATCCTCCTGCTTCAGCCTTGCATGTGTTGGGATTACAGGTGTGCACCACCATGCCTCGCCTCTGGAATTTTTTTTTTTTTTTTCGGTTTTTCTCTGGTACCGGGAACCGAACTCACGACCTTGCGCTTGCCAGGTAGGCGCTTTTGCCGCTGAGCTAAATCCCCAGCCCCTGGAATTTTTTTTAATATAGGGTTTGGGGCAGAAAATCAGGATTCACTTTTTCCCTTACGAGTTGCTTCAGCCTGTATTCTTCCTCTCAGCTTATTGATGAAGACACGAGTGTCCAGGATTCATTTTTTTTTTTCCCTATGTAATTGGCCACCTGGCTTTATTTATTGAAAGAAGATCAAGGAAGCAGTCCCAGTGGCCAGGGGCGTGTGGCATTCCTGTTGGCTGGAGTGATGTCCCCCACCTCATCCAGGTGGGCTGAGAAGGAGGAAGGAATATTCCTGAGGAGATTCAGGGTGTTGTTTCTGGCAGCAGAAGAGAATGACACTGTGACTTTAAAGGCATGTGAATGAATGAATGAGATGTTTGACTAATGGGGCTTTATCAAAACAGCAGCAGATGTGATCAACATGTTCTAATCATCATCAGCAGCAGCATCATTTTCTGTGGTACTGGGGACTGAACTCAGGGTCTCATGCAGGCTAGGTAAGTGAGCTACCACTGAACTACTTCCCTTGACCTTTTATTTTTATTTTTATTTTTTTGTCTTCTTGAGACAGGGTCTCACTATGCAGTTCAGGCTGGCCTTGAGCTCACTTTATAGCCCAAGTTGGCCTCAAACTTGCAACGATCCTCCTGCCTCAGCCTCCCTCATGCTGGGATTACAGGTGTGCGCCACCATGCCCAGCCTCCCTTGACCTTTTAGAAAAAGTTTTAGACAGGGTATTGGTAAATTGCCCAGGGTGGGCTCAAAGTTATGATCCTCCTGCCTCAGCTTCCTAGAGTCCCCAGGATTATAGGCACATAGCCCTTTTAATTTTTGAGAGAGAATCTTGCTAAGTTGCTCAGGCTGGCCTCAAACTTGTAATCCTCCTGCCTCAGCCTCCAGAGTAATTTGGATTATAGGTGTGTGCCATCATGCCTAGCCTACGTGTCCTAATTATGAGAGGCAATGTGATAGGGTGTCTAAATGTAAGCTCAGCTTCAAATCCTAGCTCTGGCACTTATCAATTATGTGAACTTCAGTTAAGTTTCCAGCCTTGCTGTGACTCTTTCCCACATCCATACACTGGGGATAAAGTGGCATCTGCCATGGAGGGCTGTCTCCATAAAATTTATTGGCATATAAAAAAGCAAAAGCTGTTATTATTATATGTAGTCTTCCTGTCAGATTTCTCTGAATTTCTCCCTCCCTTCCCCCATCAAATCCACAGTGGCATGAGGTTATCTGCTTTGCATATTTAGTACTTAAAAACCTCAAACTTTTTTTTTAGACAGGGTCTCAGTATGTTGTTCAGATTGGCCTTGAACTCACTATGGAGCCCAGGGTGGCCTTGAATTCATGGTGATCTTTCTGCCTCAGCCTCCCGAGTGCTGTTTAAAAAAAACTCAACCTTTTAATTTTAAAACACGTGTGGATGTACAGAAATATTAGGAAGTTAGTACCGAGAATTTTCATATACATTTTCCCTATTACTAACATTAGCTTGATATATTTGTTACAATTAATAAATCAGTACTGAAATGTTGTTATTTTTAAGTAAAGTCCATCCTTTATTCAGGTCCTGCACGTTCCTTTTCTGTCTCAGGATCCCATCCAACATGGATCCATTATATTTAGTTGTTGTGCCTCCTATGGCTCCTTGTTTTTGACAATTTTTTAGGTTTTCCTCACATTTGATGCCCTCGGTGGGGTAACTTTTAAGCTGAAAAGTTTTAGGTTTTGGAGTCAAGTCACAGCGTTTTGTACCCCGGGTTCTGGTCATGGCCCCTGCCAGCCTGGACCCATACTGTGTGTACAGCTGGAAATGGAAGCTGGGTGTGGCAGTGCACGCCTGTAACCCCCACACTCTGGGAGACTGAGGCTGGAGGACTGCAAATTCGAGCACAGCCTGAGTGACTTAGCGGGACCCTGTGGCATAATAAAAAAAATCTGGGGCTGTGGTTCAGCATGAATGTCCTGGGTTCGAGCCCCAGTCCGTCCCCCCCCCCCCTCGTGGATATATGAGTCCATGGAGCAGGCGTGAGCGAGTGTGTAAGCACAGCTGCAGATGATTCTGAAATCTGGGCCAAGTGGGCTCCTAGCAGCGGGCAAGGCTTGGCTTTGGCAACTCCCTGCCTTTCCCTGGAGCACTGGACCCTGAGACTCAGATGGTGAGGGCTCTTCTCCCTTGTGCTCATAAAAATCCCTGAGTAGTCAACTTTCTCATTCTTTTCGTGGCCTGCTCAGGGACGATCTGCTGGACAAATTGCCAGTAAAGTGGAGCCAGCTGACGAGGGCTGGGTGGATCTCTTTCTTTCTGGCCAACACTTGCATTTCAAGCTGATTTCCAAATCTGGAGAGTTGATGATATTAACTCGCAGTCTACCCAGGAGATAAAGCTCCAAGTTGTTGCTCTACAGTGCAATCCTCAAAAACTATGCAACTTCCCTAGGCCTTACTTTCTTCACCTATAAAACAGGAATAGTAAATGTGCCAAGTCTGAGTAAATGCTAATCTTCACTGGAGCCTTGTGTTGAGAAGGCTGGAGATCATATCTTGGCTCACTAGAAAAAGTATGCAGGAGTCGATTAGTCATGTCTGCCTTGGGCACAGGTTAAGGAAGCAGTGGCGTGTGTGCTGTACGTTTGTCATTCCTAGATTAGATGATTTTTGAATTCTAGTTGTAGACTGGTTCAGCACCCTGGGAATGGGAGAGACTCAGGGGCCTGGTTGGGTGAGCTGGCATGGGAAGGTAGAGTGGTCTGCATCCCACTTATGGCTCTCTGTGCCTACAGAGTTCACTCACGCAGGGCAGGGCGGGCTGATTGAGGAGCCCACTGGTGATGAGCTGCCTACGAAGAAGGGGCGGAGGAACCGTTTCAAGTGGGGTCCAGCTTCCCAGCAGATCCTGTTCCAGGCCTACGAGAGGCAGAAGAATCCCAGCAAGGAGGAGCGAGAGACCTTGGTGGAGGAGTGCAATCGGTACATGGCTGGCGGGTGGTGGGGATGTTTGGGCAGGGCTGAGGCAGGGTGACTTGGGCCCCAGGGAGGCTCTGCGATCCTTGAGTGCTTGTGCTGTGAGTCCATTTAGTCTGGCCCAGGAAGTTGAGCAGACTCAATGTCTGCTCAGTGTCTTGAACTTAATTGCATCCCTAGCATCCCCCACCCACCTAAGCAACCCTTTCTGGACTGCTCATCCCCTCCATGACCCCATGGCTATCTTGCTCACATTATGACTAAGGTCAGAGAGGCTAAGTCACTTGCCCAAAGTCATACAGCAGTAGTGGTGTTGAAACCCAGATGTACCAGGCCCAAGCAGGTAGAGCTCAACCTCTCAGAGCCCTCCCCCACCTCCCAGGTGAGCGCTCTTTCAGCCTGGCTTGAGGCTCACGGTGGTCACCTCTGCAGGGCAGAGTGCATCCAGAGAGGGGTGTCACCATCACAGGCTCAGGGGCTGGGCTCCAACCTCGTCACCGAGGTGCGTGTCTACAACTGGTTTGCCAACCGGCGCAAGGAAGAAGCTTTTCGGCACAAGCTAGCCATGGACACGTACAGCGGACCCCCACCGGGGCCTGGCCCGGGGCCTGCGCTGCCGGCCCACAGCTCCCCCGGCCTGCCGCCGCCAGCGCTCTCCCCCAGTAAGGTCCACGGTGAGTGCTGTGTGGTGGCGCTGGTGGAGGAGGGTGGGACGGCAGGTAGAGGGGACAAACGGGGAGGGAGGTGGAGTTGGGGAGGGTGCCCCGTGGCAGCAGCCACCCAAACCTCCTAGCCCTTCAGTTTGATTCCATCTACCCAGTTCACCGCGCCACTCCTTTGACACTGTCCACGCCACCACATTCACTCCCCGCTCCCTTCCTCCAGCCATTCTCCTCCATCCGCCGGTCCACAGCCCTCTGCGCATCTACGCCCCTCCCCTCCCCCACGCCGTCCCGTGATTGTCAGTTCTCCGCGCCGGCCATCCGTTCCCCCCACCCCGCTCCGTCTGCCCTCCACCCACCGCGTAGCCCTCTACCCATCTACACCGCCCCATTCCGGTCCCTCCACTCTCGTCCCGGACGTGGTTTGGTTCCTCCTGCTGCACCCTCTCCCTCCACAGCCCTGCTGCTCCATCTGCTCACGGCGTTCCACCGCGGCACACCCTTCTCCCCTCTGTCCGGCTTGATTTGCGTTACTGAATTGAACACACTCACTTCAGATCTATCAGTTCACACCTCTGTAGTTCAACTCAACTCAATTCGGTTACACTCCACTCGATTCCACTGTGTTCCATGGATTATAATCCAATTCGGTTCCTTTACATTTAGCACAGTTTAATGCAAACAGTTCAACGTGAACATCATTCAGTGAAATCCAGTTAATTTTGTGTAGTTATTTTTTGGTATCTGTAGGGGATTTGTTCCAGGCCGCCCTGCTGATAAAATCCAAAGATGCTCAAGTTTCTTACATATTTTGGGGGGTAATATTTGCATTGAGCCTACGCTCGTTCTCCCATGTAAATGCAACATAATTATACTGTGTTGTTTAGGGAATGACAAGAAAAAACCGAGTGTGTGGGGCACACTTTCAGTCTGTAGTTGGCTGAATCTAAGGATGTAGAAGCCACGGATGCCGGGGGCTGACTGTGATGCTCAGTCCAATGTACTCCAAGTCTATTCGGCTCTGCACAAATTGAAACTCTACTTAGTTCAGGTTCAGGTCACCTAGATCTGGTTTAATTCAGCCAACTCAGGGTCATTCTGTTCAACTCAGTTCGCGTCAGTTTCATTCCATGAGTACGCATTCAGCCTCATTCCATGATCTTTTATTGAGCACCTACTGTATGTCAGGTTGTGCTGGGAAGTGCAGGTCAGAGCCAATGCAGTGCAGTCTTTGCGCTCAGGGAGGTGGAAGCAGCCAGTGCAGGGTAGGGCCTGAGGTGCTGTTTAGGCAGTTTGGGAGTTGCATAAAGAGAGATGGGCCACTGAGGAGATGGCCCTGAGCAAACCAGTGCCGTCTAGAGCGCTGAGGCCGGTGGCAGGTGTGCTCAGGAAGTGGGTGCTGAGGCCGGACACTGCTCTCCCCTCCAGGTGTGCGCTACGGACAGCCTGCGGCCAGTGAGGCGGCAGAGGTGCCCTCCAGCAGTGGCGCTCCCTTAGTGACAGTGTCTACACCCTTGCACCAAGTGTCCCCCACAGGCCTGGAGCCCAGCCACAGCCTGCTGAGCACCGAAGCCAAGCTGGTGAGCGTCCCCGTCTGCGGTGGGAACCCTGCCCAACCCCACTCTTCTTTGCCTGGGAAACCCTGGCGTGGTCCCCTGGAAGGCAGTATGGGGATCCACCTTGATTCAGTTTGGCTTCCCCTTGCAGGTCTCAGCTACTGGGGGCCCCCTGCCTCCCGTCAGCACCCTGACAGCCCTGCATAGCTTGGAGCAGACATCCCCAGGCCTCAACCAGCAGCCCCAGAACCTCATCATGGCCTCGCTGCCCGGCGTCATGGCCATTGGGCCCGGTGAGCCCGCCTCTCTGGGCCCCACGTTCACCAACACAGGTGCCTCCACCCTGGTCATTGGTAAGCTGGTGGGGGTGGGTGGGCACCTGGGGGTGGGCAGCGGGGCTCCTGCAGAACCTGGGAGCTGGGAGGAACCCGCGGGATCCATTCATGCAACACGCGTTTTCTGAGTGCCTACTGTGGGCCAGGCAGCGCCCTATCTCAGTGATACGTGCGCGAACCAAACAGATCAACATCTCAGAGAGCTGAGTGGGGAGGCAGGCAGTAAGCACAACACAGAACTTCCACAGTACCTGAGAACATCAGAAATCCTCGGGAAGTACAGAACAGGGTGGGGGGATAAGTGTTTTGTAGGTTTTTTCTTAAGCCCAGCAAGGCTTAATTTGCAGGGGCTATTATGCAAGTACATGATATCGCTCAGTATATACAGAAATAGAAGGGAGTGTGGAGCTAAATCCAGGACCTTTGTACTGCCATGGAGCCCCAGGGCTCCTGGGAACCCAGCTGGACAACCTTTGATCTAATCCCTGCCTTCCTCTCCCACCGGCCCACATAAGGAACTAAGCGCTCACATTGAGAGTGAGTTGCTAGGGGCGCTTAAGTTGGTGGCAGGTCCCAGGGCACCCCCTCTGCTCCAACCCCTCTTCCAACCCCTAGGCTCTGGGAAGCAGGGATGGCGCCCGCAGGGGTCAGGGGGACAGCGGGGTGTGAGGATGCTTGGCTGACACCTGCCCTTCCTGCCCCAGGCCTGGCCTCCACTCAGGCCCAGAGTGTGCCCGTCATCAACAGCATGGGCAGCAGCCTGACCACCCTGCAGCCAGTCCAGTTCTCCCAGCCGCTGCACCCCTCTTACCAGCAGCCTCTCATGCCACCCGTGCAGAGCCATGTAGCCCAGAGCCCCTTCATGGCCACCATGGCCCAGCTGCAGAGCCCCCATGGTGAGCGCCCCTTCCCCGGGTCGGGGGCTGGCTGAGGGTGGCACGGGGGAGGGAGGCGGCCTGGCAGGTGTTGTGCGTATGCATCTGGTCCAGCGCCAGTACGTCTGTTTCTGCAAAGCTCTGTGTGCACACACGCCTGTGCAGGTGGATACCCAGCCCATTTCAGTGTGCGCGGCCAGGGGCTCACTGGTTGGTGTTCCCAGTTGTGTGTGCATGTCCACGTGTGGGACACAGGCCTCAGCCCTTTCTCTGGAAGCCTTAGCTTGGTGGGTATGCATCACACACAACCCACACAGGGCCTGGGCAGCACCCCGGGCTCCAAATCCTACTGTTGCCGCAGTAGGAAGTGAGCTCCGTGGAGCAGGCTAAAGACTCACCTAACCTCCTGCTCAGCTCAAGTGGGGTTTTGCCATCAAACAAGCTTGGGGGCCAACCTTACAGAAATCTTTTGATTTCACACCTTTTTGGAATTTAGGATTGGGAAAAAAGGTTGTGGACCCATATATGTCTCTGTGTATACACAGTTGACAGTGCACGTATTCATGTGTGCATGTGGGTGTTATTGTGTGTGTGCTTGTGTACTGGGGCTTGAACCCAAGGCTTTCTCACTGAGTTACATCCTCAGGCTTTTTTTTTTTTTTTTTTTGTCTTTTTGAGACAGGGTCTCGTTATGCAGTTCAGGCTGGCCTTGAGCTCATTTTGTAGCCCAGGCTGGTCTCGAACTCACAACGATCCTCCTGCCTCAGCCTCCTAAGTGCTGGGATTACAGGTGTCCACTACCACGCCTGGCTTTTTTTGGAGACAGGGTCTCACTAAGTTGCTAAATTGCCCAGGCTGGTCTCCAATTTCTGATCCTTCTGCTTCAGCCTCCTAGAGTGCAGGGCTTATAGGCGTGTATAGGTGTTACACTTCTTTCCGAGTCACTGTGAGAATAGTATGTGTGGAATGTCTGTGTGCTTCTTGGGGTCGGGGAGCTGCAGGTGAGACACTAGGTTACATACTGGGGAGGCGTCCCTCTCCTTGGTCATTCCGACAGGCCACCTGCCCTTGCTTCTGAGGCACCCCCACTTAGTACAGCAGCGCCTGCACTTAGAACGGCAGGGCTTGTGCTTAGTCCAGTAGCCCTTGTGTCTGTGCCTAGTACAGCAGCACCGCACCTGTGCCTCCACTTCCCTCTCATGCCTGCTGTCATCGGGTGGCCGGAGGAGTTGGAGGTGGCTCCTGCCCTTCCTTAGGCTGTCTGCCATCAATCCCAGCTGAGCAGGCACCTGTACTGAGGGAGAGGATCTGTTCCTTCTGTCTGGAGCCCCCCACTTTGGACATCAGCCATGGGTCCCCAACTACTGTTCCACTGGGTATTCAGCAGGCCCCTGTTCCCCCTTCCCCCAGGGCACCAGTCTTGGCCTCAGAGGGGGGCATTTAGGTTGGCCCAGGGTACCATGTCTGCGTCCTCCTCCTCTCCCTCCCTCCCTCCGACAGCCCTGTACAGCCACAAGCCCGACGTAGCCCAGTACACACACACAGGGCTGCTTCAGCAGACCATGCTCATCACTGACACCACCAACCTGAGCGCCCTCGCCAGCCTCACACCCACCAAGCAGGTAAGGCCCGGGCTTGCCTGGCCTCCCAGTCCTATTCGAGCCTCCCTCTTCATGCCCCAGGGGCTCAAGGGGCTGCTCTGCTCCTGCAGGTCTTCACCTCAGACACCGAGGCCTCCAGCGAGTCGGGGCTTCATGGACCAGCGTCCCCGGCCACCACCATCCACATCCCCAGCCAGGACCCTGCTGGCATCCAGCACCTGCAGCCTGCCCACCGGCTCAGCACCAGCCCCACGGGTGAGCACCCTCTTTCGGATGTCTCCCAGTCCAGGTATAGGCGCTGTATGTGGTGGACGGTGGGGAGGTGGGGGCTGCTTCCGGCCTCCTAAACACAGCCCAGCGAAGCGCAACGAGCATGCACAGCCACAGGCTGCGGGGCTGGACTCACAGGAAGAGCTCAGGACTAGACCGAGAAGGGGATTAGGTAACTAAGGACGTGGCAGCGAGGGGAACAACGAGCAGTAAACTGGGTCAGAAGTGACTCGCAATGTTTGGTTTGCCTCTGCTCAAGGCTTTATAGTCTTTAAATTAGTGGCCAACATTTAAAAACTAGCTTTCACATAAAATCCAACTTATCTGGGGAAACTGGAGCTGGAAATTGGGCCCACCATCCCACTCTGCCCACATGTCCTTACCCCAGCAACCCTGGAGGCCCCCACTTTGCAACTGCGACGTCATGGCCAAGAGTGGGCACCCTGGGGTCAGGCTGCTAAATCTGACTTCAGGCAAGTTGCTGCCCGTTTCCCACTTTCCACCAGGATGGCTCGAGTCAGTACTGAGGGCACCCCATTGGCCAGCTCTGGGCTTTACCCCTTGAGGCCTCTGCATTATTGTCCCCACTTTACAGATGAGAAAGTGGACACTCAAGGAGGTGATGGATGTGTCTCATTTCCCAAAACTACTGGGTGGCAGAGTCAGGATTTGAACCCAGGTCCAACCACAAAGCCTGCCGGTTCTCTTAATCTCTTCCATCAGTCAGGGTTCTCCTGAGACACAGAATAGGCGATCGCAGGGAAGAGTTCTCTTACAGAACTGGCTCACAGTGGTGGGGGCTGGCATCTGTCATCTGCAGGGGCAGTGGCTGCAGGTGGACACCCAGAGAGGTCTCAAGACTGCAGACTTGTCGTCTCTGGAAAACTTCAGTTTCTGCTCTTAGGGCCTTTGACTGATTAGATGAGACCCACCCACGTCATCGAGGGTCACCTCTGTTAAGCCAGTTGACTATCAGGTGTTAACTATGTTTACATAGTACTGTCCCAGCAACCCCTTGATGAGTGTTTTTTTTTTTTTTTTTGATGAGTGCTTGATCCAGCCTAGCTGAGTTAACACACAACCTAACATCACTCCACATGGCCTGGGCTTCTCCAGTGTTCCCACTAAAAGATCCGGGGGTCACTTGCTGGGTGCTCCCAGAGCCTGGCTAGGAGACTCCCCTTGGTAGGAACTGAGGGTGGAGGCTTGGCTTTGGGGGTCTGTACCATGCTACGATTCAGGAGGGGAGGCCATGCTTCTCTTTTCCCGAGCTCCCCTAGGGTCGGGTAGCTGGGGTGGGCCTGGGGTCTTGGACAGCAGCCAGCAGCCGCGTTTGCCTCTGCAGTGTCCTCCAGCAGCCTGGTGTTGTACCAGAGCTCCGACTCTACCAACGGCCACAGCCACCTGCTGCCATCCAACCACAGCGTCATTGAGACCTTCATCTCCACTCAGATGGCTTCCTCCTCCCAGTAACTATGGCAACTGCCTCCCAGGCGCTGCAGCCTGCCTTGCCTGCTGAGGGCGTGAGGACAGCAGCCACCACTGATGCCTGGGGTACACAGGCTTCCCAAGCTTCCACTGCCCTCCCTGGAAACCTCTGCCTTGGTCCCCACCTTGCTCTGCCAGCATCAAAAGGGGACAGATCACCTGAAGAGGGCTGTGAGTTGCACAAGAGAGGACCCTGGAGAGCTGGGCAGCACAGCTTGTTCCTGGAAGGACTCTGCAGGGACTATCCTGGTACTTGGGATAAAAGACCTGTTACCTGGAACGAAGCGGGCAGCTTTTGACTCTGGCATCACCGGTCTGGACCTGTGGGAAGCCCAGGGCCCAACAAGAGCCCCTGGTGGTCAGAACTCTCACTACACAAGCTTGAGTAGCTGTGACTCACTGCGCTCTAAGAGACCCTGGATCAACGTGGTCATGTCACTGCTGCACCCACCAGGTCAACCACCCTGCCCCAGCTCTTCCAGCCAGTGACCCCGTTTGTTCCTCTGCACCACCCTCCTGCATACGCACCCCAGTGGCTGCTCTGTGCCAGGGCCTGGAGCTCTGATGCCCATGGTGGGGGCGGGGGGGGGGGGCTCAGGCTAAGCAGGCTAAGCAGGCAGACAAGCAGTGCTCTCCCTCCTCGTCCAGTAGGAGCACATCTCATGGACATCTGTTCCCCTCATCAGCCTGCCTCTACTAATTAGGCCACTTCAGGGCTAAGAAGTTATTCTTGCTCTTGTGGGTGCCCTATGACTTGTGCCAAGTCCAGGTTCCACAGCAGCAGCTTCTGCAGACTCAGGGACCTACGGACCCTTTCCTTGCCTGGGAGACACTGCTGAGGTCAGCGGGAAGCAGGGCCTGAGCAACGGGCAGAGCTGAGATGTCCAGAGGCAAAGAGCAGGGACATCAGCAGACAGAGGCTCCCGTGTGGCCCGGACTGATGCTTGGGGGCCCCAGGGAACTGGCAACCGCCCTGAGGAGTCTGAGTCCTTGGTGACACTGGGAGGGACAAAGCAGCCGTGTGAACCCAGGGAAGGGGTGACCTCATGTGCTTGGGCCCACTGCAGAGAACCTGAGCCTCTGTGAGCTGCCTGCAGCTGGGCCTGAGGACGGGCGCAGGGAGAGCTGCACCCCTTGCAGCTTGTAGCCAGTTATGGGTAAGGCTGGACATTTATTTAACTTTTAGTAAAGTCAATGAGAAATGTACATAAACTTCCTGTTGTCTGTGAGTCACCCAGCCGGGGGCAGGGCAGGCAGCAGACGGACGAGGAGGTGGGCCAGGGTCTGAGCAGGAGGGCTCCAGGGGAAACTCTCACACAAGCTTTTTTTTGGTGATTGAACCCAGGGCCTTTGCACTGAACTACATCCCCAGCCCTTCTGAAAAATTTTTTGAGACAGGGTCTTGCCAAATTACTGAGTGGCCCAGGCTGGGCTTGAACTTGTGATCCTTCTGCCTCAGTCTCCCAGTGCACTTGGGTCACAGGCGAGTGCCTCCATGCTTGGCTCCCCACCCATTTTTCTGCACCCTGAGAGACTGAGGCAAGGTGAGGAAGCCAGAATTCCACCTTCACCTTGGGCATCCGCTGCATGCTGCAGCAGATCCCTGCTGCACGGAACTTAACCCACAAGTGCTGCCACGCTTCCCGATCCTGGAAGGGGGTGACGGAGCATACCCTGGGATGCTGACCGGAGGGTCACACACCACACATGCTGTTTACCTTTTAAGGTCTCTAAGATTCAGCACTGACAGAAGGCGGCACCCAAATTCTGGGCCCCCTGACAACTCATTTCTGATGGGCCAGTTGGTTCACAGACATTATTATACCCATAAAATCAAAACGCAGAAAGGGAACTGGAAAATGGAAGCGAAAACACCCTCTCCTCCTTTTCCTGAAAATGTCTGTCAATTCTATGAGTTGGGGGTGGAAGTATAAATGTTTGGGCCCTGGCATCTTGGGGACCCCTTCCCTCATTTTCTAAATATGTCCCACACAATCAGCTGGGGAGGGAGAATGGTCTCCCCGCTTCCCGTGTGTTTTGAGACAAGGTCTTGCTATGTAGTCCAGGCTGGTCTTGAACTAACGGTGCTTCTTTTGCCTCAGGCTTCTGCGTGCTGGGATCAGAGGTGTGTGCCACCACACGCAGTGAAAGATCTCCCTTTACTTGTCCAGTATGGACAGTCTTGGGGTGGTGGGGGCAGCTCTACTTGGTCAGTAGTCTTGAATAGCTGAGGCCACAGAATGTTCTGGAAGTACAGTTCTGTCCAGCCTTCAGCAGGAATACAGAGGGACAGAGTCTGGCTTGCCAGCCAAGCACTGGAGCTTGGAGAGGTAGGTATGGAAATGGCTTGTCCCTCTTGGCGGCCTCGTCCTTGGAGCCAGCAGGGTGCGGCACCCAGGGTCAGTCTGCAGGCACAGCGGCTGCGCGCTCTGACAGTGGGCATAAGGAAGCCGCGCCGGCCTTCTTCGCTTTCTTCTTTTTCTTCTCTTTGGTCCCAGGTGACACCTGGTCCCTGCTGATCGCCCCTGACTCCTTTTCTTGTTTCTGGACTGCTGCTCCGCTGGCTGGGGTGGTGGCTTCAGGCGGGTCGATGCTGGCCACCTTCTTGGCTTTCTTTTTCAGCTTCTTTTTCTTCTTCTTGGCCTCCTTCTCCCCCTGGACGGGGCCGTGGAGAGCTGATTCCTGGAGAATGTCGCTGGCTGACACAGCAGCCTCCCGGCACCGCTGCCACTCCTCAGTGCTGTCCTCGCTGCTGCAAGTGGAGGACAGTCGGGTTAGCGGGGTGCAGGAGGGCCTGGAACTGCCTCTCGCTGCCCCCCTTCGCTCGGTCTAAGCCGCGGAGTGAGGCAGACCTGGGCTCCAACACAAGCTCCTCTGCCTAGCAGCTCTGTAACCTCACTAAGTGACTTCACCTCTGGAGCCTCTGTATCTTCGTCTATAAAATAGGGAGCTTGCCAAGCCTCACAGGGATGCTCAGGGAGGCAAATATGATAACGGAAGGAGTCTGGCCCAAGACGGACGCTTAGAAAGCAGTAAAGATCCAAAGCCCCTCCCCAAAGACCCCCCCTACCCCCTGCTGGGCACGCTACTTCCCTGGTGACCTCACAGGCCTTTTCCTTTGGTTTGGACCCAACTGGAGCTGCCTGGCTATTGGGGTGAGTGGGTGAGACAGAGGGGAGCAAAGGGGAGCCCTGTGGAGAGGGTGTGAGCTCTTACCTAGAGCTGGAGGGCTGCCGCTTTCGGCAGGGCCGGGGAGCAGCTTCCTCGTCGGGGCCTCTGGGGATGGACGTAAAGAAGAGGCGGAAGCCTAGGATTCACAAGGGGCAGAGTCAGCACCGCCGGGTGCCAGCCCTCCTCTCCCAGGTGCGAGGCTGCCACCTCCGTGCACAGGAGCTCCCAGTCCAGTGGCACAGGCCCGGGCATCCCTGTCGTGTGATCGCAAACAGAGCCCCGTCTGAGGACAGGCCTGCTCGATGCCCGATGGAGCCAGAGGTGGAGTTCCTGAGGGGACGCCAGCTGCCACACTGGGGCTTCTGGAAGCCAGCAGCTGAGCCTCCTTCCTAGGGCAGCCTCCTAAAAGGCCAGACTTGGACCGGGGGCTGTGGAGTGCAAAGAAAAAGGGGCAGCCTAGGACAGAAGAAGTTCCACAAGCAGGTGACTGTGCCCCAGAGCCCCACTGCCCTTGTCTGTCACTGGGGCACCATCACCCTTCCTGCCTCCCAGTGAGGACTGTACCCCTGGAAGGCTGGGTACCCAAACTGCATCACCTGCTAGGCAGTCGGTGCTTCTGGCTGTTAGGAACAGCGTAACCACTCACCATTGTCCTCTGAGGCCACTTCCTGTATCTTAGCTTTTCTCGGCTCCTTCACTACTTCTGAGATGGTGATGCAGCTAAGGGGAGAGGAGGTGATGGACAGGATGTGAGATTCCAACTGCAGGGCACCATCTGTTTAAACCCCATTTTGTTCCAGAAAGTGCTGAAAATTTTAATCAGTGCAACAAAAGGTAATGGCAGAGGGACAGAGAGAGGGAGCTAGAAGTATAATCAGAAAGGCCTCCCTATACACTTGTTGGGGAAACTTACATTTTGTTCTGGGTTTCCCGTTAGTAAGCATGAAAGGGGAAATCTGACCAGTCTAGAGAAGTGGTCAGCTTCTAGAACAGGGCGGGCCTGCCATTTCACATGGTGTTTTTTTTTCTTTGGGTACTGGCAATCGAACTCAGGACCTTGCGCTTGTCAGGCAGGCGCTCGTGCCACTGAGCTATATCCCCAGCCCAGGCCTGTCATTTTCTTTTTCTTTTATGTTTAAAGAATTTGAGATAATTGTAGATTGACATTTATTGTGAGAAATAACGCAGAGATCCCAAACCATTCAAAACTGTAGTACAGTATCTTAACAAGGAAATGGAATTTGATACAACGCACAAGCAGGTGCTCAGTAGATGGTAGCTAAGATGACAACGCAAGTCATCAAGCTAAGCAACATGGTAGACTCTCCCCCATAGAGATAAGCCGTGTCTCTCTGGGGTGTGGGGAGACCAGGAAGCACATTTCTGTGGAATGCTGCAAACCCAGCAGGCACTGTGTGCTTTTCCTCACCTCCTGCATTCAGGCCCCAGCCGGCACCAAAGCCCTGTGCAGGCGAAGACCAAGGGGTGTAGCGGATATGGTGCCATCAGGCGCCAGTCTCTGACCTGACACTGCAGTTTGATGTTGACCCTCAGGGACACCTGGCGAGGTCTGGAGAGGGCTCTGGCTGTCAGACCTGGTGGAGTGCGTGCTAGAGTATGCAGGGGCCAGGGATACTGCTACATATCCTATGATGCGAGGAGTAGCCCTCATGACAAACAACGATCCCATCCAGTAAAAAGTGTCACCAGTGTCATCAAGACACCTGACCTACATAAGGGACCGACTGGAGGATCATGAAAGTCCCTTCAGAGAGAAATGTGGAAACGCTGCGGGCGGGTCACTTCAAAGCCGCGGGGGCCTTGGTCACCCTGAAGCCAAAGTCATGAGGAAAAACTGTCCCCTTGCTGAAATGCACCTGGCCCTTCCCCATACCCTCAAACTGGGGACTGGCACAACGTCGTGGGGCCCCCGACTGCAGGGCTCTGGCTGACATCTGTCTCACAAGAACACGGGCCCACGCTTTGGGAAGGCTCATGTGTCCTTTCTGAGATTTACTTCAAATCGAGAGACCAGGGTGTCAATTCGTCACCACCAGCCCCTTTCAAAACCTTCTGGGGCTCTTCAATCAGGAATGGCTCTGGCATAGCATGTCCCGAGACGTGCTCCGCCTGTGTCAATTGGTCTTCTGTCAAGCAAAGGAACTGTGGCCAAACGGACTTGCTAAGTACCGGGCCAAACAAAGTTACACGGTGCTCCTCCTCACAGGAATTTTCGGGGTCTTGAATATACCATTGGGAATCTCAGTGTCTAAGGACACACAGACTGAAGTGTTTCTCAGACTTCAGTGCTGTTGGACCCCCCTTTGTTTCCAGAGCCACCTCTTGGGTTAGTACTAAGGTCTGAATGTTTGTATCCCCCTAAAATTCCTATGTCGAAACCCTAACTCCCAAGGTGAGGGTGGCAGGAGGTGGTGATTAGGTCATGAGGGTGAGGACCTCAGGAACGAGATTCGAACCTTTGTAATGAAGCTCAGGGGCGACCCCTGGCCCTTTCTCCACGTGAGGACGCAGTGAAGAGGTGCCATGTACGAGCTAGGAGGAAGGCCTCACTAGCCACTGAGTCTACTGGACTCCTGAGTCTTCAAAACGTGAGAGAGACATTCTGGTGCTTGCACGCCGGCAGGGGACAGCATTTTGTTACGCAGCCCCAAGGGAGCACAACAGCAGCACTCCAGGCGCTGGCTCTCGGAGGGCCAACCTGATCTTCAGAGAAGGGGTGGGAAACACGGGCACAGCGCCTGGCATGCAGAAAGTACCCAGGACACGTGACTTGTGTTCCCTTGCCCGCTGGCCATGGGAATGAGCTCCTGCTTCTCCACGGTCCTCTCGTATTCTCTGGTTAGCAGGACAAGACGGCTGTGGAGGAGCCAGACACGCGTGGGCCTGAGGTCTAGCTCTGCGCCTCACTCCCCGTGACTTTCAGCAAACACGCCCCTGGCTGAGCACCTGTTTCCTCGCCCAGAGAGCAAGGACAGCGGCAGGACCTCCGTGCTGTGCTGCTTATGGATGTGTGGAGGTGACGGAAGCCACATGCTGCTTAGATAACACGAGCTCGCACCTAGCATATGCCATCGCTGTTGCTGTCGACGAGGGCAGCAAGGAAAAGGCACCGTCCTACCTGTCCAGCAGCGCGCCCAGCTTCTTGGCTACATGGGCTCGGAACTCGGGGGTGGTTTGCAGCTCGTTGCCGTCTTGTTCGTGCTCATCCACCTTATGCCTACAACACACAAAAGGATCTCACTTCCAGGCAGCTCAGAAGCTGCCCCAAGAGCGAGGGACTATGTTTGTGCTGTTTTTTCCCATCACAGGGTCTAACCTGGCATCTGGCACCCACAACATTGATACTTGATGATGATCTAAGATGTCACCCATGTGTTTGGATCATGAGGGCGCTACAGGCATTAGCAGATTCATCTATTGAGGAGTTCACAGCTAACTCTGGTGTTAGGAGGTGGGGCCTGGTAGGAGGTGCGTCACTGGGGGGGTGACCTGGAAGCGGGTATTCTTGTCCCCAGCTCCTCCCTTCTCTCCCTGTTTCCCAGCTGCCACGAGTTGAGCAGCTGTCTTCCGCCATGCCCATGTCATGCTGTTCTGCCCTGAGCCAAACAACCACGTGAAACAGGAGCCAAATAAACCTCTCTTCCTTTAAGATGCAGTATCAGGTACTTCGTTCCAGCAACGTGAAAGCTGATTAATACAAGGAGTAAACGCAGCTGCGATCCAAACTGCACAGTACCTGAGGCTCGGCTGGGAGGCTGCCAACTGGTTATTTGCAGCATCTGGGGGAAAATGAAAATTAAAGTGTTTACAAAGGGAATGACAATTTTAACAGTGGCAAAACCTACTGTGTGCCAGGCACTATTTTAAGTAGTTTACCTGTGTAATTCAGGGAATCTTCCCCCAAATCCCATTCGAGAGGTTACCATTATCAACATTTTGCAGAAGAAAGTCAAGGAGATGTAAAATACCTTGGCCAGTGTCTAACAGCTAATTCCACAGGGTTGGGACGAGGACCCAGGATAGCTGGCTCAGAGCTCCCATTAACCGTCATGCTGAACTGGTGAGTCTAAGTGTAACTGAGTACCTACTATGTGTCTGGCTGTGTGCTAAGTGCTGGGGGAGAAGGGGCACGTGGCTGTCTGTGCTGATGACATTTTTAAAGCCGCAACACTGGGGATGCCTGGCCTGGCGGTCATTTATTGAACTACATACTGAATGCCGATTAACAGCCATGTATCCTAGTTGCCGAACTTAGACACACCTTCCTGTCTTCACAGAACTTAAGTTCTAGCTCTGGAGATGGAAGACAAACACATATAAATAAAATATAAAATTGGATAATGGTGTCTGGAAAGTAACAAGAACAGCTGAGGAGAGCGGCGGGCAGGGGTGGACACGGAGAGCTGGCAGGTAAGGTAACAGCTGAATAGCAATTCGGGAGGTGAGGGAGGAGGCTGAGTGGAAACCTGAGAGAGAACCTTCTAGACAGAGGAAAGAACATCTGCAAAGGCTCTGAGGTAGGAACCTGCCTGGTATTTGAGAACCAGCAAGGAGGTAGGCGTGGCTGGAGCCCACCCAGCCAGCTGGTGGGGCAGAAGAGACAAAAGAACCTGTGGGGGACAAATCACCAAGGGCACTCATATAAGCCAAGGGGAGGATCTGGGCTTTGAGGAGGACCGAAGGGTGGGAATTTTGTCCATAATATGCACTTGTGCATGGCAGGGAGCGACCTAAAGCAACTGACACCTTGACTTTGAGTCAGATTACCTGAATTTACTCTTGGTTCTTCCACTTATAATTTGGAAGACCCTGGCCAAATTACTTTACCTTTATGAGTATCAGTTGTTTTCATCTGTGAAACGGAGGCAATAATATTTTCTTTGTGGTATTGCCAGAAAGATTAAAACAGCCAACAAATAGGAAGTGTGTAGAATAAGGGAGCAGGGTTCTCAAGTTATGGTGGTGTTATTATTAGAATCACCCAAGAATGTCCAAATGTCCAATACCTTGCCAGGCACACAGCAGTGCTCAATAAATAACAGTACTTATTATCAGCAGCTACACTTGCTCTGATCAGCAGGAGATTTATGATGGATATCACAAAGACAATGAGTTCTAAAGCTGGTACCGTGGGTGCCACTTCTCTGATGTTTGCATCTTCAGATGCTGGTTAAAGCTTGTTTCGGTCTGAGAAGTCAGGTGTTTTTACAGATGAGGTAGCTGAGGTTTCCAGAAGTTATGTGACTCGTCTAGGACCAACATTTCATATTGAATCCTCTTAGCACTGTCACATAGGAATCCACTGTGTCAAAGGGGAAGAAACCGGACTGGGACTCTGCTAGAATCTCAGAACTTTCACTCACCTAGGAAGTGTCCTTTGGGCAAGCTCATTCATTTAAGAATTATTTTCCTGAGCACTGTGCTAGGTCCTGAAGAAACACCCTGGTGAAGGAATGGGGCAGATACCAGCCTGCATGAGGTTCACATCATACAGCCCTGACATAAGTATTTGCAGAGCAAGTATTGTAGTGCTGGGGATGCGGGGATGAAAGAAAAAAAGAGAAAGATAAGACGAGGAAAGGGACAAACAGTAGGAAGAAAGGAAAGTGCTAGCTAGGAAGGCAGCCACACAAAGCATGATGGGGGTACGCAGAGAAGGCAAATAGCCCAGACTGCAACTGCCCAGAGATTAGGGGTATGCAGAGAGCATAACCCAGACTGGGCACTAAATTGCCCATAGACTGCTGAGAACCAATTACTGTGTCCAAGAGCAAGAGTTGGGAAGGACAGGGAAAGCAGTGCATGCAGAGACCAACCCCATATTTGCTGCCATTTATTGGGCTTTAATACGTGCCAAGCACTGAAGATGGATCATCCAAGTTGCTTGGCAACCTTATGGGGTAGCTATTGCCATTATCCTCGCTGCACAGATGAGCAAGTTTAGGTAGAATGAATTGTAAATACTTTGCCCAAGTTCTCACTGCTGGGGAGTGGTGGAGATGGAGACAGAGAGGCGGATCTGCAGAGAACCTGCAGAGAAAACCGCAGGTCTGGTGCTCTGAGATGAGAGCGCAGAGTATGATCTGGAGCCTATCTTCCGGAAGTGGAGCGTGGCAGCAGTGCAAGAAGGCAATGGGATACAGGAAGTGGGTCACAAAAGGGCTCGTAAGTCTTTAAAACAAATGTAGGCGTTCTTAACCTTGCTTTGCTATGGCCTCCTTCAGCAGTTGGGGAAGCCTGGATTCCTTCTTAAAATAATGTTTTAAATATGCATTACAAAACCCCAATAATACTGAAATTTAGTTATATAATAGTAAACTTATGATCTCAATCTATGTACTTCTTCTTCTTTTTTTTTTTCTTGTCTTTTTGATGCAGGGTCTCCCTATGCAGTTCAGGCTGACCTTGAGCTCACTTTGTAGCCCAGGCTGGCCTTGAACTAGCAACCATCCTCCTGCCTCAGCCTCCCATGCTGCGATTACAGGCATGTGCCACCACGACCGGCTGGCTATGTGCTTCTTTAAGTAGTGAAGATGTTTATCAAATAAGATCTAGAAATGTGTCTACTAATTAATGTAATTATAAATTATAGGTGAGTGTAAATGAGTTCCTAATATTTTACTGTGAATAAAATATTTTTATAGATCTGCAAGATTGTAATGAGATATGAACATCTGGTGACTTTTGTTGGAATAAAGCAACAAGTGCTGTCAAAACAGCTGCGGCTTGTCGCTCATAGGCACGATGGAGAGATGCTAAATTTCAGCTAGGGATTAACCGCTGGATACCAACCATGAGAAGACACCCCTATTGTTGAGGGGCTTCCGATGTATCCCCAGGGCACCAGGGAATCAAGGTCAGACACACACTGTACACAGCTCGTCGGCGACCTGTTGGAGGCGGGGAAAGGCTGCATGCGACAAGGGGAAGGGGCTGTCGCAGTTATTTCTGAAAGGCAGTGGCTTTCCTAACATGCGGCGGTATGGATGAACCCAAGGAAGCGGAATAAGAGACAGCCACGTGCCTTAGTTTCCCTCCCTGGCGTAAGCACTCTCTGGTGCATCTGCCCTCGCTTTGACTCTGATCTCTTCGCAGCTGGTGGAGCTCTCTTGGAGAAGGAAGTCAAATCCCAGTAACTCCCTCCTCCCCGTTCATCCTCTCAGTCCCCAGGGAAGAACCTACTCCTTTTGGGCAGCCTCCCGGAATACAACTTCCTACCGGCTCTTGGTTTCTCCGCTCCCCGCGGGGCCTGCTCCAAGCCCCAGGCCGGCAGAGCCGCTTCGCGGCACCGCGCCAGCTCCTCCCCATCGCTACTGCTGCTGCTCTCGGAATCGCTCACTGTGCCACTGGGCGCCGCCATCTTGAGCTATCGCAAAGGATTGTGGAGAACACTATGGACTCTACCACGTGACCCCACGTGAGGGCAGAGAGAATTGTGGGGATTGTAGTTTTCAGACGAAGGTCGTCTCTGGCTCTGAACTATCCTGGAGGGCAAAGGAGTTTCTTAATTAAATGGGAGTGCTTGAAGGAGTTAAAAAAGGCAACTTGGAAACTTAGTGAGACCGTGACTCAAAATTAAAAATAAAAAGGGCTAGGATATAATTCAGTGGTAAGGTCCTGGGATCAATCTCTAGAACTCAGGGGAAAAATCAACTAAGGTCTTCAGCCTTTTATTGATGAGGAAAATGAGACCTAAAGAGGGAAGGAAATCTCCCTAAGGTCACACAAAGACAGGACCAGGATTAGTTTAGATTTTGATCGATGTAGTTAGACATTATTCATGTATTCCAGTGATTTTCAAATCCAGCTGAGGGTGAGAAACATTGTAGGGTGCTTGTTCAACCGTGGACTAACCTGGTCAGAATCTATTAGAGTGGTATCCAGGAATCTGTATTTTTTCTAATAGCCTGAGACCTTCCTACTCAGGGAATAGTCCATGGGCCAGCTTGTTAGAAATGCAGGATCTTGGGCCCTACTGCAAACCTGACAGATGAGAATTGCACTTGAACAGCTCTCCCTGTGATTTGTATATAGTAAACACTGTGATCTTTCTTTTTTTTTTTTTTTTTGGTGGTGCTGGAATTGAACCCAAAGCCTTTATACTGAGCCACATCTCCATCCCCCTTTTATTTATTTATTTATTTTTAAATTTCAAGACAAGGTCTTGGTGAGTTGCCCAGGTAGGACTTGACTTTGCAGTTCTTCTGCTGCAGTCTCAGAAAGCACTGGAATTGTTGTCATGTGCCATTGTGCCTGGCTAACACTCGTTTTCTAGCTCAGGGACTTCTCTAACCTGCCTGCACAAAGAAACATTTGAGGAACTTATAAAAACAACAACAACGAAAAAACAGTTCCCAGGACTGATAAGTTAGAGTCTCTGCAGCTGAGATATTCCACAGTGAATGATAAAATAACTTTTGTCTTTGGAATGCTTTATCTTTGAAGGTGAATGTGTCAGAAACATTATTAAAATAAGCTATCTGGCCTTGGGCTTTTATAGTAAAAAAAAAAAAAAGAAAGAAAAAAACCAAAACGGATGATTGCTATAATCTGCATGTTTGTCTCCCTCAAATTCCCATATTGAAATCCTCACTGCAGAGATGATGGTATTAGGAGGCAGGGCCTTTGGAAGGTGATTAACTCCAGGGGGGCAAAGTCTTCATGAAAGGGCTTACTGCCCTTATGCAGGACACCTCCTCCTTTCTTCACGTTGAGGACACAAGGGGAACTGCCATCTGTAACCCGGGAAGAGGCCCTCACCAGAAACCAAATCTAGCAGCATTTAGTTCTTCCTGGCCTTCAGAACTGTGAGACATAAATACTTGTTATTTATAAGCCTTGAATTTATGGTATTTGTTATAGGAGTCCAAATTAACTGAATAAGTCTTAGTCCTTTTTCTTAGAAGTTTTCCACTATCTACAGTGTGGGCTGATCTGAACATTACAGTGGATACAAAGATGTGGGTCAGGCTAGCCTGTTCACTTCTTGGGCCAGAGACACTTTTTTGGGCCCTCAAGGCAAAAAGAGCCAGGAAATATACAGATTACTATTGCTGAATTGTCCAGAGACTGCTGAGAACCAATTATGAGGTACATCTGATATGCTATGGTGCGTCCATCAGGAAGCAGGGCAAAGCAGAAGGATGGAAGAAAGCTTTTTATGGGTTGGTTGGCGTAAAGCCCACCACGTGATAACCTTTGATTGTAAAGATGCTATTATTTTTTAGAAGTCTCTGCGCTAGCATGTACTCTTAGTGTGTGGGTTTCGCGAGTGGAGGGGAATTTTTTTTTCCCACCCAGCCTCATCCTCAATCTCCTAGACTTTGCCTCTTCTTGTCTCAGCTTTCCCATAGTCCTCAACCCCCAGAGTTGAGAGGCTCCAATGATTAAGCCATAGCCATTAGGACGGAATTAGCATCTGGGGAAGTGAATGGAGACCACCCACATGGGAGCAGGCAAAGGCTCTTTATTCCCTGCTTGTAAAGCACCGAACGGGGCACCATTCCTTGTCTTTGACAGAGATTCAGAGACAGGTGCCCCGGCCCACGGGTACAGTCAACGAGGACCCTAGAGGGGGAGTGGGGATGATAAAGGGACAAGAGACACGAAGAATGGAGACAAGACAGGATTCTAATCAAGTCTCGTTTATTGGCAGGAAGCACGGTGTATATATAGGGCGCAGGGAAACACGGAAGTTCTAAGGCGGGAGTAGCTAGGTAACGGTGGGCAGTCCTGACTTAAAGGGAAAGGTGCGTCTCTTCAGGGAAGTAGGCAGGATAACAGAAACTTATCTCAGACAACAGAAACTTAATGCTTAAGACGGCTACTAATATACACTGGAGGTCAGTCAGGGTCTCCCACAGACAGGCAGGGGACTAACAAAGCTTCATAACAAAGACGAAAAAGGGGTAGACTTTGGGCATGTCCTCATCCAGGTTCTTGGTGTGAGGAGGCTGGAGGTGAACCAACCAAAGCAGAGCTACTTATGTAGTCGGTGTAGGGGGCTCATTTGCCTTCCTCTGGCTGGTCCTAAACTAGAAGTGGGATCGAGTGGGGTGGGAAATCAGAGAAGCTGGTGGTTACTGACTCACTTCTGGCTTGGGTTCAGGTTGGTTAGTTCCTGGAGGCGTTGTGTGGGAGAATTCTGTTGTCACATAGGTCTTGGCCATTGTCCATTTGTATATTTAGTCTGTACTGGCAGGGCTGGGAGAGCTGCTTATAAAGCTGGTGAAGATGTGGGGCCTCCCCCTTGGAGAGAACTGGTGTTGAGGCTCAGTTCTGGTATTCTTTTTTCTTCCTTTCTTGCCCTCCCCCTCTCCCCTCCCCTCTGCTCCCCTCTCCTCTCTCTTTCCTCTCCTCTCTCTTTTGTAGGGCTAGGGATTGAACCTAGGACTTCATACATAGTAAGCAGATGCTCTACTCTCAGTCCTGAGTTCTGGATATGGTGCCAGAGATGCGCAGAAAGCTGAGGAAACTATCTGGGTGGAAAGAGAGCCTCTTCTGCTGCCTTCTTGGTGAGGATGATGGTGTCGCTGTCTTGGATGCCATAACTTGCAAAATCGAACCAGTCCTGCAGGACCTGGCCCTGGAACTCCAGCTGCTGCTGCTTGCTGGGAAGCCCCTGCCTGTCTTCGATCCTCTGCTTCAGGCCCAGGATGAGGTGGTAGGGGTGGATGGCATAGGCGTGGCTCCTGCCATCCGGGTTCTTCACGAAGACCTGGATCTCGGGGGATACAGTGACCAGCAGGCAGATGTGGGTGTCGGAGAAGATCCCATAATAGGCCAGTGAGGAGTGACTGCTGAGGAGCTGCCGCTCACCGCCAGGCTCCTGGAAGGACAGGCGCTGCAGGCCTGCGTAGTCCCGGATCTGTCGGATTTTCTCTTTCACCTTCATTACGGACTCATAAGGGTTCATCCGGATGATCAAATCGTAGTGACCCCACTGCTCCACTGTCAGCTGGATATCTCTGGCTCTCTGCAAAAGAGAGGGAGAGGGGTTAAGGCCACACTTCTGTCTGACAGGTGGAAGTTCCCTTCACCTGTTTTCATCTTTGAAATAGCAACCAAGAAGCAGCAACAAACATTTAGGGAGTGCCAACCACTTTCCAGGCCCTATGCTGGGCACCTCTCATGCTCTGAATTCACTTTCATTTCCCAGCAACCCCAGGAAGTGGCTCTGCTGTTCTCCCCATTTTACAGATGAGGCAGTTGAGGCTGGGTGCAGTTAAGTATTCACTGACTATCAGTCACAAAGAGAGCAAGGAGCCAGGTCTGGGAAGGAATCTAAGCCTCATGTTGCAAAGTTTTCTGTTTTGTTTTTGTTTTTTTGTCTTTTTGAGACAGGGCTTTGCTATGCAGTTCAGGTTGGCTTGAACTCACTTTGTAGCCTAGACTGGCTTCAAACTCACTGTTTGCCTCCTGTCTCAGCCTCCTAAATGCTGGGATTATAGATGGGCACCACCATGCCTGGCAGTTTTCTGATTTTTCAAGATAAAAATCTTTGCACAGTGTTTTTTATATTTGGGGAAAATCCAGATGCATATGCTTTTCAGCCCATCTGTAGGTCTCATGTGGCTGGTGGGTCCTCTGATTTGTACCTTGTCACAGAGCCTCTGATTTTGTTTCTGCCTCTGCTGCATGGGCATAAGTCTCCTGTTCCTGCATATTCCTTGCTTTTTGCCATCTTGTATTCTGGCCCCTCAGTCCTACCTGACCCCTCAACCTGGAGTGGCCTCTGTCTGAGCATCTACATCCCTCTCTGGTCTTCTGGGCTCACTTGAAGCCCTAGCTCCTTCAAGGAATCACCTCTAATGACTTCAGATAATATTTATTGTTTGTGGAGCCATACAAAGACCCGTGAATTTTGTTTTTTTTGTTTTTTTTGTTTTTTTTGGCTTTTTCTCCGGTACCGGGAACCGAACTCATGACCTTGTGCTTGCCAGGCAGGCGCTTTGCCGCTGAGCTAAATCCCCAGCCCCAGACCCGTGAATTTTGGCTTTGCTACCTCTTGATAGTGTGATGTTGATGAACTGATTTAACCTCTTTAAGCCTCAGTTTCCTCATCCATAAAATGGGATTAATAGTAATAGTACTAGTATAGATAATAATATTTGATCTTCCCTTACAGACTTGCTGTGAGATGGTTCCCAGATGAGTGTTTGGAAAATTGTACAATGTGATAAGAAGAAAATAAGATTTATTATGATCTTTGTCTGTACCGTAGGTCTGGCATCACATAAGAAGATTTCTTGCTTGCTAACAGCACAGGATGAGCTCCTCAAGGCAGAGGCCAAGTCCTGTCTCTGTTCCCCGTGTGCTGCCCTTCCACCCCTCCCCTCAGCCGCAGCCCCGTGCTGGCCCCTCACAGCCAACTGAGTTGACTTGGCCGCTCAGCTTACGCGAAGCGTGATCAGGAAAATGGAGCTGCTTTTCCAGTAGGTTCTGCGGAGCAGAGGGCGGGGAGAAGAATTTAAAGATGAGGAATTTGAGGCTCCGAGAACCAAAGGCCTTTCCCAAGTTCTCAGAACCAGTGGGAGGCGCAGTCAGGCCTTGCAGCGTCTGCCTCTAAAGCGCTGTTCACTTCTGACCCGGAAGTGGATGACTCAGCACCATGTGGCCATCTTGTTCTGAGCTTCAAGTCCCTGAAAGTCCCGAAAGGAGTCATTCATTACCTTCACGTCCCAGCTGGGGACTGGGGTGTTACTGCTGTTATAGCAACACTCCTGTTTCAGGCACTGGGAGGCCCTCTGAGCCATTATGTCCCATCGGTACCCTTCTGCCACATTGTGGGTGGGGTCTGCTGGGTCCAGGATGATGGGCCTGAAACACAGGGAGAGGGTGCCGTGTTCCCCCAGCTTGGAGGCTGCAAGCCAGAAGACACCTCAGCAACCATGCATTCAAACCACTGCACATCTGTGTCCGAGCCCAGGGCTGTCTGTCCCGGAAGGCCCAGACACACTGCTGGAGAGCAAGAGGAGGGAGGTGGTCAGATTCCCACAAGTTCCTCTCAGGACAGTACTCTGGGTGTTTGCAAGGAATTTTGGGGGTGGAGAGGGTGAAGCCCCAAGAGGGACACTGCAGTGGTAATAGACGCCACTCAGGCAGGGGCAGAGGCCCTCTGAGGTCACAGCAGGCAGCACCAGGTAGAGGACGAAGCTGCAGAACAGCTTTGGCTAATGGGAACACCGCCACCAACACCTGTACCAACACCCTATGTGGATTAACCTGTTTCAGTCCTTACAACAAATCTATAAGGTAGGCACTATTATTGTTGTTGGACACCTGCCCCCCATTTTACAGGTAAGGAAATAGGCAAGACCTTCCTGAGTTCTCACAGCCGGTACCTGGGGTAAGAATCCATTATAATTGGTTGTCTCTAAATTCACATAAGATTGTTTTTTGAGACAGGGTCTCACTGTGTAGTTCAGGCTGGCCTCAAACTCGTGGCAATCTTCCTGTCTTAAGTCTCCTGGGTGCTGGAGTTACAGCCATGCACCACTGTGCCTGGTGTCACGTTGAATGATTTGTTTTTGGATTTTTAAGACGGTACTGGGGATTAAACCAAGGGCCTTCTCACTGAGCGACATCCCCAGCCCCTTTTCTTTCCTTTTTTATTTTGAGGTAGGATCTTAGCTAAGTTGCCCAAACTGGGCTCAAACTTGTAATCTTCCTGCCTCCGCCTCCTATAGTGCTGGGATCAGAAGGATATTCCGCCATGCTGAGCATTACATGAATACTTTAAAGCGCATTGGCTTGAATGGAGTCCAGTAGCGTGCTCAGGCCGCTTGGGGATGACTGCATGACGTACGTAACAATCCCAGAGTAAGAATTGACCTTGGCTCGCCAGGGCTTTTGGCTTAGGAGCTGTGACTGTCTGTGGCAGACTGTGAGAGCAGGCTACTGGGTGAACGGGATGCTTGGGCTCTCTGCCTGCCAATCCCCCACAGCCCCTGCTCCCTGACAGTCCTTCCTGGAATCATCAGGGAGCAGTGCAGGGCTGCCCCACGGGGTTTGGGAAACCTGACCCAGCGTGGCTTATTCTGTTGGCTGGTGGGTGATCTATCACATAGGACCTGTGTCCACTGGTCAGACTGGTTTCTTCTGCGGTTTGACCAGGGGTGATGGAGGCGCTTCAGCAACTGGGAGGAAATGAGGAGCAGGGAGGTGTTGAAGGAAGAGGAGAAGCAGAGAAGAGAAGGAGGGAGGGAGAGGGAGAGGAAAAAGGAGAGGGAGAGGGAGACGGGAGGGAGGGAGGAGGGAAGGGAGTCTGGAGTCAGTCTCCAGGTCTGCCTGAGGTCCTGCAGGTATTTCCACCCCCAGTTTTCCTGGCATCCTTATAATAAATCCTCTCCACCAGGAGACCTGCTTTTCTTCCTTGGAAAACAAAATCAAACCACCTCCATGAGTAAAAAATCCAACACTCATAATGGAATACTGGACTTTTTTTTTTTGGTACTGGGACTTGAACTCAGGACCTCATGCTTGCCAGGCAGGCACTGCACCACTAAGCTAAATCTGCAGCCTAAAATTTAACTGTACAGCAAGTCAACTATGAATTTTGTATATGTTCTATTTTTTTGTTTTATTTTTTGTTTTGGTACCAGAATCAAACTCAGGGCCTTGCGCTTGCCAGGCAGGCACTGTGCCGCTAAGCTATCTTCCCGGCCCCATAATGGAATACTAAAACTCGTAATATAAAGACTTATCTAGGCTGGGTTCCCCTGGAAGTGAATCTCCGGAGTAAGGACTGGCTTATTGGGAAGGCGATTCCAGGAAGCTGTAGTAAGCCGGGGGTGGGGGAGGGGTGGGGAGGGGTGTATGAGAAAGTGACACAGGGGAAGGGAAAGAAGCCAATCAAGGGGGAGTGTCAAGGTCACTGGCCTGTGGGAAGCTGGAAGTCAGCCCCACCAGGGAGCTCTGGCAAATAGCAGCAGAAGACAGACCCTGGAGTCTTGTCATCTGAGGGGGCTGCGCGCTGGGGCATTTATCGCCTACTCCCTCCAATCATTGGTTGAGGGCTGCTCCCAGGGTGGGTCTGCTGGTGAGAGGAAGACCTCAGGCTAAGAGGTGCAGGAGTTGGCAGCTGGAGGTTGAGCCAGCCTTCCCTGCCAAGGTCAAGGCCAAGAGTGTATGAATTGGGGCTCTGAGGATTTGAATTGCAAGAACGAGCATTTCTGCAGCATCCACCACACCCCAGACACTGTCCTTCACACACATTTCTGCCAACCTTGTGGCCGCCCTGCATTGTCTGCACTGTGCCCGTTTATTCCTGTTTTACGGAGGAGAGCCAAAGCTCACGGCACTTAGAAAATGCTAGACCTGAGATTTAAGCACGAACCTCCAAGATCCTCCCCATCTTCATAGGCCATTTCCAAGAGGAGGGGAAGTGATCTTCTGTGAGCGAGAGGACTAAGGTAGAGTGGAGGGGTGGCTTTTGGAACAAGAAAAAGGCTCACCTCCCCTAAGGGACCCGCCTGGACCCTGGGAGCTTCGTAGGCTGTGAGCTTGAAGTACGATTTCCACTTGAGATCTCAGTGTCAGCTCGTATGGCAGTTTTACTATGTCCTGAATAAAGCCAATCCATCAAACTCTATGCTATAGGCTGCTCAATTCTCTCTCTCCCCATCTCTCTCTCTTTTCTTTTTCTGAGACTTGGTGGGCAAGCAGTGGCGCAGTACCTCTCTTTTTTGAGCTGCTTTCTGACACAGCCTTCGATGACTGGGTTCTGGAGCGTGTAGTACTTGGTCCAGTAGATGCAGACGAGCTCGGCATCCTGGAGCAGTTCCATCACAGTGGTGAGGCCTTCAGCCAAACTGAAGCTCTCTTCTTTCTGGGTACCCATCTCCCAGGCATAGATGGTCAGCAGGTCCAGGGCATAGGGAGGAGGCAGGTTGGCCCTGGGGCACTTGGCTCTCACATACTGTTGAAAGACGTGAGAAGAGAGAGGCCCCAAGATTTTTGTAAGGGTGGCACTGGGGTGAGTAGGGGCTGGAAAATCAAATTCTAGACCTGTAGTTCAGTGTACTCAGCTGCTAGGAAAGTATCCTTTAAAGGAAGGGCTTCTTGCTGGACAGGGTAGCACGTGCCTGATATTCCAGCACTCTGGGAGGCTGACGCAGGAGGATTGCAAGTTCCAACGCAGCCCGGGCAATTTAACAATTTAGACACTCTCAAAATAAAGGAAAAATAATAAAAAGGGCTGGAGATATAACCCTGTATTCAATCCCCAGTATGGGGTGGGGTGGCAGTGGCCAGGGTTTCTTGGGTAATTGGGAAGAGGAAGAGGTTATACCTAAGAAGACGGATTATATAGTGATCACTGGGACAGCTTCTGTAGCATTCTTTCCCAACCCATTCAACAGCAGTGTTGCTGTTTGATGGTACTGACCCTGATCTCCATCTCCAAAGTGGGATGTGACTGCATAATCTTTTTTCCCATGACAAGTGATGGGCTCAAGAGAGGGCATGTGACCTAGGATAGTTCAATTAGAGTAAAGCAAAAATTATTTTATTAAGTGGTCGAAAGAAGAGCAGTCTTCTCATGAATGCATGTAAGGGCAGGGACATCTGTGGACATTTTGCTACCATGAGGGAAACCAACCAGAGGACCACGTTGACATATAGAGGAGAAAGAATTTAATTACAGAGAAATGGATACAGCCTTCACCAAACACAGCCTGAAAACCCCATTCCACTGTTATGGGTTTCCATACATGAGCTGATCATTTTCTTAACTGCTTAAGTTAGTTTAAGTTGGTTCAGTGTTTTGCTATAGGTTGAAAGGAAAGTATCTTTACCGACTGGTCATTTCCTACCTAAAAAACCTCTCTAATATTCAGCTAGAAAATAGGTATTTCTGTGACACATCTAGCTATTTGGTTTGCTGAAGTAAAACTGACATCTTGTTTATGGCCATCATAAGTAAATATTATAGCAGAAGAAAAAAAGCACAATCTTCCCACAGAAGAAAGAAAAGCACAATAGTTTGACCTTGAAACAAACAAAAAACATACAAAAACCACAGGTTCACCTCGTCTAGTTCTCATTTCCCCAATAAATGGAAACTTGACCTTTCCTATGAGTCACCTGATTGACTATCAGAAACAACTTTATTCCTAACTTTAAAATTTTTAAAATGTTCTCATATTTATGTATGTTAATGAATTTGATTTTTGTAACTCTGTGAGTTCACACTTTTCTCTAATACTAATGAGATTTTACATTCTTAAAACTTAGATGATTCATAAAATTGAGAAAGCCTGTGATCATTCAGCTATAAATCTTAGAACAATGAGCTCACAAGTTCTTGAAGCCAGGCATGGGGGTATGGGTCTATAATACCCACACTCAGGAGGCTGATGCAAGAGGATTGCTTGAGCCCAGTAGTTGGAAGCCAACCTGGGCAACATAATGAAATCTCATCTCTAAATAAATAAGTAAATAAATAAATACATAGGAAGAAAGACAGGAAAGAGAGACCTACATTTCTTTTATGATCCTTGACGGACTATTTATTTATTTATTTATTTACTTATTTATTTTTGTTCTTTTTGAGACAGGGTCTCACTATGCACGTCAGGCTGGCTTTGAACTCACTTTGTAACCCAGCCTGGCCTCAAACTTACAGTGATCCTCTTGCCTCAGCCTCCTGAGTGCTTGGATTATAGGCATGCGCCACCACACCCGGCACTGATGGACTATTTAATGAGAAAAAGAACCTAGAAAAAAATTAATGTTATTTTCCAGAGCTGATGATCAGTGATGTTATGTTGACCTTCTGTCACTGTGACAAATGCCTGAGATAATCACCTTAGAAAGAGACAGGTTTATTTCGGCTCACAGTTTTGGAGGTTTCAGTCCATAGTTGATTGGCCCTGATGTTCTTGGGCCTGCGGTGAGGGGGCAATCATGTGACAGCATCTAGCAAAGCCACTCACTTCATGGAGGGGCAAGAAAGAGAGGAAGAAGGGGCTGGGGCCTCTCTGTCAAGGGCATGCACCCCCAGTGACCTGAATACCTCCCAGCAGTCCCTACCTCTAGTTCTTTTTTCCCCTGCAGTACTGGGAATTGAACCTTGTGGGTGACCGCCAAGCCATGTTCCCCTGAGAAATGAAGCCTCTTGACTCCACCTTTTCCTGATCTTTATGGCAACTGTATTTACTGAGATATGCAGAGCTGGCTATGTCGAAGCAGGTGTTCCCTTAGTGGGCGAAAAGAATGTGACCAAGTCTGGCTGAGGCACCAATGTGTCTCACTGCAGCAAAGTGGGTCAGAATTGTTCCCTGATGATGCGGAATGGAGGCTCGAGCAAGAGCCTGGGAGATTTCAGGGCTAAGACATGAAATAACGTCTCAGCTGAGGCCATGAGACTCAGAAAGAATTATACCTCTCTAGCAGTAAAGGCGCCAGCCTTGCATACACGAAGGTATCTGCTGCATCACTAACTGGGGAGCCTCTGTGCCTGGTGTTACAGTGCTCTGTTTTTCCTTACATGCCATGCCTGCAAAATTTCTCTTCCCATGCACTCGGCTGCGACTCCCACCTACCTCCCTGATTAGTACCAATTAAAACCTTGGGCATTCTGACTCTTGGCCCCTTGTTCCACTGAGAGTAATTGGTAGTCTCAGAGCCCTTTCAACTGCAGGTCTCACTCTTTGTCATTTTTCATCCATGTGCCATATTGCCAGGTGGGAGACCCAAACCCTCTGTGAGGGTTTTGATAGAACCTAAGGCCTTTGCACTGAGCTATGTCCCCATCTCTCTCTCTCTCTCTCTCTCTCTCTCTCTCTCTCTCTCCTTCTCTCTCTCTCTCTCTCTCTTTTTTCTTTTTTGTCTTTTTGAGACAAGGTCTCACTATACAGTTCAGGCTGGGCTTGAGCTCACTTTGTAGCCCAGGCTGGTCTCGAACTTTCAACGATCCTCCTGCCTCAGCCTCCTGAGTGCTGGGATCACAGGTATGTGCCACCACAGCTGGCCTCCATCCCTTTTTTAATTTTTAATTTTGAGATGGGGTTTTACTAAGTTGCTAAGTTACATATCCTTAAACTTGCTATCCTCCTGCCTTAGTCTCTCAGAATACTGGTATTACCAGCATATGCCACTATGCCCAGCCTTACTACATATTTTATTGTGTTAAGCCTTTCCTTCTGCAGTCTGCTTTCTGTGCAATTTCTCTAAAAGTTCTTATTTATAAATGATTTTTTGTCTGTTTCTTTTCTCAATCGAAAGTTCCATTTAGATTTCTCCCAGGGGAAGTCCAAAACGTTTGGACAGAACTGTGAGTTATGTACCTCACAAGCAGTTTACGTTCAGACATAGCTTCTTTTCAACTCCTAGTGTGGGGACAGAGATCTGTAGATGAGAAAATAGAACAGGGGCCTCATTAGATCTTCTAGGTAATTTTGACTAGAAGTAGTTAAAAACTAACTTTACTAGAGAAATTCCCCTGACAAATAGGTCAAGGGTGGGGATACAGAAAGAAAAACCAAATAAAGAAAGGCACAAATGACCTTGGGACTTGCACCAAGAGACCAAAACAGAGCTGACAGGCAGCACACAGAGAGAAAGCCAAGTGCAACAACAGTAAGCCAGTCCCAAATCCAATAAAACAGAGCAGACAAAGGGGGAGGTGACTAACTTTAAAGCAGTATGAACTCACACCTATGCACTAACACACACACACATATATTATGTGTGTGTATTCACTCTAGAGTCACTATATTATTCATTCTAGGGTCATTATACAGTACAGTAGGTATCCACGTGCCCCCTTAGTAACTCTAAGCTGACCATGAATAAGGTACCCCCATGCCAACTAGCTGCTCATCCCAAAGACAAGGCCTTAAAGGGTATGTCAAGGACAAGTAAACAAACAGAAAGAAGCTGCACATAGGCCACTGGAAGAAACGACGTTAGGCAGAGGTGTCTGCAAGCTGATCCAGTTATGGCAAGTTCTGGATGTGGGGTGTCACCCCCTCCCCAATAAAAGCAGCCAGGGAACAAAGAGCCTAGGGGTCCTCCCTCATTCCGGAGCTCCCTACACTGACTCTATCTTATAAGGGTATCTAGCTATCTTCTTCCCTCCCCCTCCCTTTTTCTCTTTACAAATAAAGTGTCTTCCTTTCGTTAGACTTTGTCCCTCTCATTTTTTATTGGGGCTGAGTTTAGGATCTTGGTGGGCTGCTTGGACAACAGAGCAATGATTCTTGTCCCCCCCAATGTAACATCTTTCTTTCCTTGACCAGGAGCCAAAGGACACTAGGGTGAAGTTTATGTGGCAATAGCATTTATTTTTTCTGACTTTCTCTCCTTCCCTCTTGACTCTACTCTCTCTCTCTCTTTCCCTCTCCCTCTCTGTTACTATGTTGCCCAGGCTAGCTCTGATTTCCTGGGCTCAAGTAATCCTCCTCCTCCCTCAGTCTCCCACTTTGCTGGGGCTACAGGTATGTGTTACCACACTGGCTATTGTTTTGTCTTTGATTTTGATTCTTGTTTTCATTTGTATGAGTTCTTTATGTCCCTGTTGTGACAATAATCTGTGACTGTGGTTTTAGGGTTTGACCATCTGCTGGTCTTTACTGGGAGACAGATGCTTGGATTTACTCCCTGGGGAATAGCACCCATGGAGATTTAGTTGTATTTTGTGCTTTTCTCTCTCTTTTGTTCTGTGTGTTTTGAGAATTCTGGTTATCTCCTGGAAGCTTCATTATTGTCTTTAAAGCTGTTATGAATTTAAATCGTTCAGACATTTGTGTGCATTGTGTGTATGTGTGTGTGTGTGTGTGTGTATGTGTGTGTGTGTGTAGACAAACTGCTGGAAAACAGCCCTATAAGATTAGGAGCTGACTGGTGGATTTTCTGCCATGTTTATTTTTGATCCATAATTAAAGTTGTAAAACTGAAACTGCCAGTTCTTTGTGTTTTTATGTGTGTAAATGAAAAAAGCATTTTCTAGAAGAATTATCTGATTGCAACCTAATCTCTCTGTAGGAGATTTCTTTCTCACCCTGCACTCTAGGATATTTATGGGTCGCCATTGGGAGTAAAGTCATGGGTAAACACTGATATTGCCACGAAAGGGGGCTGAGTCAGAATTTTATCAGACTCTTTTATTGTGAAAGCAGATAACATCATCAAAGCAGATTCCTTAGCCCAAAGATTAATAAAGCAAGAATTAGCTACAAGGTTAATGTTCTCTTTTTAGCGGCTATGTGAGGAAAACCCTTTCTCTCTTCTTAATCTGTTACCCTCAGTGTAAAGCTATATTTGTGCAAACCAAGATTAAACATTTTTAAAATGATATATTATTTTGACACTTCAAAGTAAGAAATCTCCATAATAGATTAACAAACAAATCATCAGAAAACCAAAGATAATTATTTTGTAAGATCAGAGCATATGTTATTGACCTTGTTTGCAAAACTGTTCAGAATGATGGTTAAATATTCACTAAAGGTCTTTACCAAGTTACTCTATTTTTAATCACTATATAATATTTGTGTTCATTGAATAAAATTTTGTTCTCTTCCCACCAGTATAGAATTAGATGAATCCAATTTGTATTCATACCCCACCCCCCGTACTGGGAATCGAACTCACAACCTTACACTTACCAGGCAGGCACTGTGCTGCTGAGCTAAATCCCCAGCCCCTGCAATTTGTATTCATGCTAGAAGTCTCATTCGATTAGCTAGGATGAGACCATTACTGAGAATCAAGGACAAATTAAGACTGACACAGGGCAAATACTGCATGATCCCCTTATATGAGACACATTGAGTAGGCAAAATTAAATAGAGACAGAAAGTAGAATTGTGGTTACTAGGGGCAGCGTCTAGCAGAGAATGAGGCATTATTATTTAAAGCGTTGAGTTTTGTTTGGGGTGATGAGAAAGGTCTGAAACTAGATGGTGATGATGGTTATATAACATTCTGAATGTAATTAAATTATCTCCTCTAAAACTAAGCAAAACTCTTCCTGTTTTTTTTTTTTTTTTTATCTTTGAGACAGGGTCTCATTATGCAGTTCAGGCTGGCCTTGAGCTCACTTTGTAGCTCAGACTGGTCTCGAACAAAACTCTTCTTTTGATATGAAAAGCTTAACCAAAAACACTGGGGGAAAGTTCTATTTTGTTTCTAGAGCTGTACTGAATAGCATACATTAGGGAAGACCTCTATGGGAAGCCTCCCCTGTCTCTGTAGCCACATGTCCCACATCTAGGCATTCAACCGTCAAATGAAAATCTTTGGATAGAAAAAGTTGTGTGTACTGACCATGTACAGATTTTTCTTTTCATTCCCTAAATAATAAACTATCATAATTACTTACATAGCATTTGCATTGTATTCAATATTATAAGTAATCTAGAGATGATTTAAAGTATAGGGGAGGATGTGTGTAAGTTAGATACACATACTGAGCCATTTTATAGAAGGGACTTGAGATTGTTTGGATTTTAGTATCTGAGGGGTTTCCTAAACCAATCTTCTATGGATACCAAGGGATGGCTGTACATAAACACATATATACACATACAAGTGACTTATGTATAGGTAGATGGCATCAGTTTCTTGATGAAGAAGTCAGAATCAAACAAAGGCTTTCATATGGGGAAATGATGCTTATAAAGTTTTTCTTGGAGACTGACTTGAGTCCTGCTGTAAGGTATGTGACACCCAGACTGACAGATGTAAAAAGAATACTTTTATGGCAGGCTGTGAGCATTAACAAACTTTGGCATCTCTGATCACTGATGTCATTGTAGTTAAGATTTGATAGAGGAAAGCAGAGGTGGTAATGCATTCTTGTAATCTCAGCACCGAGGGAGCTGGGGCAGAAAGTTTGCAAGTTCAAGTCCTGCCTGGGCAACTTAGAGAGACCCTGTCTCAAAATTAAAATAAATACATAAGTAAAAATTTAAAAATAAAATAAATAAAAAAGGCTGGGGGTATTGCTCAGTGGTAGATCATCCCTGAATTTGATCCCTCGTACTGGAAAAAAAAGATTTGACAGATGAAGCCTAGAGGATGTAAACTGCATGTTTCTTGGTTTCTGAATCCAGTAGATGGACCAATCAGTACACTAAAAAAAATTACAACAAAGCATTTTACAAAAGCTCCAGACAGCTGGGTGTGGTGGCATATGCCTTTACTCCCTGCACTTGGGAAGCTGAGGCAGGAGGATCCTGTGAGGTTGAGACCAGCCTGGGCTACAAAGTGAGCTCAAGGCCATCCTGAACTGCAGAGCGAGACCCTATCTCAAAAAGACCAAAAAAAAAAAAAAAAGCTCCAGACAAAAATGATTAATTTTTTAGTCTCATACAATGCTAATTTTATTCTCCATACTGTGGTGATTAGTTAACTGTTGGCAACCAAAGGGTTAGAACCCTCAGCAGCAAACTTCCTGCAGTAAAGCAGTCCTGCTCCCCTCACACTAAGCAGTCATGAGACAATGCACTGAGGCTGACCCAAGATGGCATGAGATAAAAAATAAATATTTCTCCCAGGGGCCAGGGGTTTTTGTAAGGCTGAGTTAAATGACTTTGCCAATTTGCAATTTTGATGTATAATTTTAGATGCAATGCAGGGGCTTCTGGGAGATTAACAAGAAACAAGATGGAGCCAGAAATGCATTTCTGAGATATCCACAGTTACTAACTGAGATCTCGTTCCACATCTCCAATCCCTTATAAAAAGCCCAACTTCTAATACTGACTGCAAGGCCCTCTCTTGGGAACCCACCTGTTGTCCTCTTTCTGGAAGAGTTTCTGGAAGTCCTCTTTCCTGTCCTTAAGAGGTTAAAACACTGTGAATGCTGCTGCCGAACGCCATCCAATGGAAAGGCAAACTTGTAAAAACATTTTGGTGTGACTTTGTCTACCCTGGGTCAGCATATCTGGCACCCTGTGACTTCTGGTTCTTCCCCAAAGTCAAAATAAGCATGAAAGGTAATGTTTTGCATCAATTCAGGAAATCAAGGCAGCCACAATAGTGGAACTAAAGACACTCAGGAAAAAGGACTCCTGTACCTGCTTTGGAAAGTGGCAAAAACAACGCATAAGTGTATTTGCATAAAGGAGGACATTTCTGAGGGGAATTAATGGCAATATGTCATTTTAAAAATTTAGACATTCTCCATATATTTTAAACATACTTCATATAACGTGAGATCTTTGTGTCCTCATATATTAATCAACATCTTATAATACTTGGGTAAATAAACGGTGGTACATGCTGGTAATCCCAGAAATTTGGGAGGCAGAGGCAGAAGGATTCCAATTCTGAGGCCCAGCTGGGCAATCTGTATCCTGTTTCAAGATAAAATAAAGTTAAAAAAAAAAAAAAGGCTGAGCATGTAGCTGAGTGATACAGTGCCTGTGTAGCATGTACAAGGCCCCTGGGTTCAATCCCTAGCATGAAAAAAAAAGTCAAATAAAATAAAATGTTAGGTTTAAAATTCTATATCAAAAATGAGTTTAAAAAAACATGTCAAATCCTTGTCTTAGGGCCAGAGACTTGCAAAAAGGATTGTAGAAGTAAAGCTGATACATGTATATATACCTCCTCTCAAAGGTAACTCATTTTTGACTTTGGTAAAGCTAATATCTGAAAACTTGTCAACTGTAGTTGATGTGACTTCTGTCATCTCACCATGAACAGACTATTAATTCTAAGTGTGCTAACCTTGGTAATTTCGTGATTTTTAATCTCTTTACTTTATTTTATTTATTTATTTTTATTTTTTGAGACAAGGTTTCAATATGTAGCTCAGGTTGACCTTGAACTCACTTTGTAGCCTAGATTGGCCTCAAACTTGCAGTAATCCTCCTGCCTCAGCCTCCTGAGTGCTGGGATTACGGGTGTATGCCACCGTGCCCAGCTTGTTTTATTTTTTAAACTGAGTTAGTCTTCCCAAAATCTTTTACCATTTTTTTAAAAACAAAAACCAACTTTGTCTTTGTAATTTTTGTATTTGTTTCTGAGTCTTCCTTTTATAAGTTTAAACTCTATTCATCTGGATGTTTTTTCTTTTTTTACCTTTCTGAGACAGGGTCTCTGCCTGGCGTGGTGGCTCACGCCTGTAATCCCAGCACTCTGGGAGGCTGAGGCAGGAGGATAGCTGCAAGTTTGGGACCAGCCTGGGCTACAAAGTGAGTTCAAGGCCAGCCTGAACTGCATAATGAGACCCTGTCTCAAAAAGATTAAAAAATAAAAAGAGAGAGAGACAGGATCTCACTATGCAGTTCAGGCTGGCTTTGAGCTCACTTTGTAGCCCAGGCTGGTCTCGAACTTGCAGCGATTCTCCAGCCTCAGCCTCCCAGAGTGCTGGGATTACAGGTGTGCACCACCACACCTGACTCATCTGGATATTTTACAATCTACATGGTTCTGTGCAGATAGCACTTATGAAATCTAAAAAGTAGTTACTCTGGACCCATTCATTCAGTAGTGATCATGATACTCAGGAACTCGGTCATTTGGAGGGTGATTGGTGTGGGCGAGCAATCTTTTCTCTTGTTAGTCCTTAACTTACCGTGATTAAGGTCCAGCACACTGAAGTTACCATTAGCTAATACTAGATAGGAACCAGAGCATTTCAAGCGCTTGATTACTGAAACACTGTACAATAGCTATTTTTCTCTTTCTTTTTCTGTTTCTCTTTTCTCTCCTCTTCTCTTTTTCCTTTTCCATTTTTTTCACTGAATGTTTCACTTTACAATTTAAAAAGTCTAGCAATTTCCGTCTCCTTTCCCTTCTTCATTTCCCCTTGGTGCAGTTTCCTGGGGATGGTACCTGGCCCTTGTCTTTCCTCTCTCCCTCCTGCCCCCATCCTGCCAGCTCCCCTTACCTGCTGGTACCAGTGTTTTACCAGCCGTAGGAGGCTCTTCAGCTTAGTAGGCTGATGTTTTACAAAGTTTCTCTGCAGCTCGCTGAAGGATGGGGAGAAATTTCCAGGGTACCCACAGGCCTTGATCAGACTCACGTAGACCTCTGGGGGTACCTGAGAGTTGGGAACAGAAGGCCCTGAGGAAAGAGGAAGCAAAAACAGAGACTGAGGATTTAGGAAGCCCCAAAGAGGTAAGGAGTGGCTGGGGGGACCACCAGTTTATCCACTGGAGATGCCTCTCTAGAGAGACTTGTGACCTCAGATCCTCAGACACCAAAGCTTTGCCTTGCTTGATTGTCCTCGGTTGCCTTGCTTTGAGGAGCCAACACTGGACTTTCCATATCTCAGGCCCCTCAGGACTTTTGTCCTCCCTGAATGTCCCTGGCTGTTATGGTTTAGATCTGGGTGTCTTCCAGAAGTCTCACGCGTTAGGAGGTGTTTGGATCATGGGGAAAATATACTTATCAGTGAACTACTGGACTGAGGAGCTCATAGCTGAATATGTTACTGGGAAGGGAAGCCTGGTTGAAGGCCAGTCACCGGGCGCATGACCTAGAAGGGTATGTCTCCTTCCGAGGCTCTTTCCTATGCTCTCTGCTTCCTGGGTGTCATGCTCTGAAACCTCTCTGTCTTTCTCTCTCTGCCTCTCTCACTCTCTCTCCTTCCCCGACACCATGACATACTGTGCCACCCCAGGCCCAAAGAAAGATGGCCAGGTAACCATGGACTGAAATCTCTGAAACTGTGAGTCAACTTAAACACATCCTCCTTCTGAGTTGCTTATCTTAGATATTTTATCACAGTGACTGAAAGCTGACTAACAGAAAGCTTGTCTCATCTGGGCTTATAGCAGAAATGATTTATTTCAAACACTGAAGATTCTTGGCTTGAGGACAAATAACAAGTGCCGGGGGTTTTAGAACTCTAGGAAGCAGCTAATGACTGATAAGAAATCACGGATGAGCACTCATCACCCCCTTGAGATATTGTTGAAATGTACTCTGTATTATTGCTTTGAGTTCTGCGGGGGCATTGCTATGGTTTGTGTCTGCATGTCCCCCTAAATCCTCACGCAGTCGTGGGGCAGGCTTCTATTCTAGATTTTTGATTTGTCCATAGTCCAAGGCTGGGGTTATGGGTGTGAGTGCTACACCTGCCCTGGGGGGGATAGTTTGCATACAATGTAAGGGAGGGAAAGAAGCTGCTTGCTGACGCTCCTCCCTTTTGCTCTTGTTGCTTTGCTGTCTTCCGCAGCCCTGAACAGTTGCCCTCTGCCATGTGCCACTCTGCCTTGGAGCCAGCCAAGTATGGACTGAAATGTCCACAAACTGTGAGCTAAATAAACCTTTCCTTCCTTAATACTGGGTGTCAGGTATTTTGTCTGAGCAACGAGAGAAAAGTAACTAAAGCCCGCATGAAGCCCAGCTGCTTGTAGTGATGCCGTGCCCAGTAATATCTTTTGTATTGTGTCTTGGTTCCCTGCCTCTCTCCTAGTGGTGGGTCATCTCCGCATAAACTGCTTGTCCTTGTATCCTTATCACAGGATCTGCTTCTGGGAAAGCCCAAACAATGACAGACCCAAATACCCTAATAAGAAGCACTCATGGTTATTATTTTAGCTCCTTTTCCTCACTGGATCTGGGATCTTGCAGAATATCCTTGGCATAGAAAGCCCACTCCTGAGCACACTTTCTGCACTTAGCCAGGGTACTCCATTTTTGTTTTCTGAGCACTGCCACCATTGTCTTTCTCTCTCTTGCTCCATCCTTCACTTTCTCCCTTCTTTCCTTTCTTTCTTTTATGCTGGAGATTGAACCCAGGGTCTTGTGTTTGCTAGGCAAGCATTCTATCATTGAGTTACACCTTCAGCTCTTTTATTTTGAGACGGGTTCTCACTAAGTTGCTCAGACTGGCCTTGAACTTTTGATCCTCCTGCTTCAGCCTTCTGAATCAGCTGAGTTATAGGCATGAAGCACTGTACCCAGCTTACCATATGTTTATCTGTGTAACTTCTGGATAAGTTTCTGTTTCCCAGATTTCCCCACATGAGAGCCACAGTATTAGTCCTGGGCACACAGTGAAGGTTCAGTCCCCAGTATAGGATGTGTATAGAGTGAATGCATGCAGGTGTCTGTATATGGCCATGAAGGAGAGGTGAGGGAGTTGCAAGTCTCCTGGGAAGGGCAGGTGTGTGTTGCAAGCTTCTGCTCCCCTTACCCAGGACCCTGTAGGCAGGCACAATGGTGATACCGATAGGCTCTTCAGTCTCTCTGGCCTGGATGGTGAAGACGAGCGTGTCAGGGACTCCTTGGGCCACACTCAGGTCATTTAGCCCGAGGGCCAGCAGGTCCTGGCAACTGTACGCTTTTTTCCTTAGCAATCTCAGGACAGCTTGGTGGTGCTTGGCTTCTTCCTGGAAGCTGTGGAAACAGCTCAGGAACACCACCAGCTCCACGTCCGTGGTGCCCCTGATCACTGTGCCATTCGCGAAGCAGCCCACCTGTAAGAGACAGAGCCCTGTCAGCAGGATGCCCCTCTGCTGTGTGCCAGGCAAGCTCTGCGCACGTCACATGACATGTCCTGTTTAATGCGCATCATTGCCCAGAGGTCACTTGCTGTGGCCATCAGTTAGCAGCCGGACATCAGAGCCTAGGTTTCTTGTCTATTGCGCTGCACGGCTTCCAAAACTCCATCTTGTGTTCTGCAGAGAAATGCCTACTTCAAAGGAATACAGGTTCTGCGTCCCTCACCCAACAATCTGCAATCCAAAATGCTCCCAAATCTGAAACTTTTTGTGTGCTGATGTGACGTCACAAGTGGAGCACACGCCTGTAATCCCAGCACTCTGGGGGGCTGAGGCAGGAGGCTCAAAAGTTTGAGCCCAGCCTGGGCAATTTAATGACTTAGCAAGACCTTGTCTCAAAATTTCAAAAAGGGCTGTGGATGTGGCTTAGTGCTAAGGTCCTGAGTTCAGTCCCCAATAACACACACACACACTCTCTCTCTCTCTCTCTCTCTCTCTCTCTCTCTCTCTCTCTCTCTCCCTCCTCTCTCAGAGCAAGTTGAAGATTACACACCTGCCTTCAGGTGATGACTTATAGTCAAAACACCAACACACTAACAGTAGTGTATAAAATTACCTTTATGCTATGCAGACAGGTGTTTATGAAACATAAATGGCTTATGTGTGAGCTTGGGTCCCATCCAGAGGCTACCTCATTATGTATATGCAAATATTTCAAAATCTGAAAGAAATCCCAGACCTGAGGCACCTCTGGCCTTAGGCATTTCGGAGGAGGCATATTCAAGCTGTGTAATGCCTACTGCACTGTATTTGAGGACTCATGGTGGAGGTGTTGTGTGTGTGTCTGAATAATTTCATGGCATTAAAGAACAGGGAGCAGGTTTGCTAGTGGATAAGAGCCATGGGCTATGAAACCAGCCCTTTGACTTTGGCCTTGACCTGTGTGTGTGTGTGTGTGTGTGTGTGTGTGTGAGAGAGAGAGAGAGAGACAGACAGACAGACAGACAGACAGAGTTTGTGTGTTGCTGGAGATTGAACCCAGAACAAGTGCTCTACCACTGAGCTCCACCCTGCAGCCCTGATCTTGACTCTTGCCCCTGCTCCTTAGCTGAATGGTCATTTGAAGCCCGCAGAGCTTCATGTGTAAATGAAAGTAATGACGGAAGGTGAGTCACTGGGTACGGAGCGCATTAGATAAAATACTGCATGCACAGGCGTTGGTGTGGTGTCCGGCACACAGAAAGTCACCGATCTGTTTCTCTTCTTCCTGTTTATCTAACTGACTCACACAATCCCTTCTTGCTGCCCAGGCAGCAATTTCCCCACTTGTAGTGGAAGGAGACTGAGCCGGGTGATTTTGAAGGGTCCCTCTGGATGTTCTGTGATTCTCGACACACCCTCCAAGCCCCACTGCCTTCGGTGTACAGAGCTCCGCACCGCTCTGTCTCCCCCTTTTCTCATCCTGTGTCAGAAAGAGGGATTCTTAGGGTAAGGATCAGACCCCAAGTGGGCTACCTTCCTGGGGCGGTGGAGCTCCTGAGCACGAGTTATAGCCCAGCTGTCACAGGCTGAGCACGCCCTCTATCTGGCACTACGGACAGCCCTTTTGCATATCACTCATAATCCTCACTCCTCATTGACGTGGGTACCATAAATCTCCCGAATGTGCAGATAAGAATACTGAGTCAAGTCAGGCGTGGTGGCGCACACCTGTACTCCCAGAACTCTGGGAGGCTGAGGCAGGAGGATGGCAAGTGCGAGCCCAGTCTAGGCCATTTAACAAGACCCTGTCTCAAAATAAAAAATAAAAAAAAAAATGAGCTGGAGATGTAGCTCAGTGCAAAGGCCCTGGCTTCAATCTCCAGTACTAGAATAAAAAAAAAAAATATCGAGGCAGTGAAGGGGAGATCATTTTACCATAGTCTCCCAGCCAGCCAGAGGGTCAAGATGAAGAATCGGAAAAGAAAGAACGGGTGAGTCTTCTTTCCCATTCTTCCTAGTGACCCGTATGTAGGAGCCGTGCCCTGCTCCAGGATTGGAGGAGGTGCCTGCCATCCCCCCCTCTCTCTGTCTCTGTCTCTCTCTCTTCTTCTCTTTTCTTCTCTCATTTTCAATGTTGTGGATTGAATCCAGGGTCTTCATACTGCACTATGTCCTCAAAATTGTCTTTTTAAATTTTGAGACAGGGTCTGGCTTAGTTGCTGAGTTGCCCAGGCTGGGCTTGAATTGCCGTTCTCCTGCCTTAGCCCCTGAGAGCGCTGGGATTACTGGTGCGCACCTCCGTGCCTGGCTTCCTCTTTCCTCTTCTATTCTCCTTTCCCACCAGAGTCTGACTCAGCACTTCTACCCGCCCGCAGAGAGCTCAGGACAGGTGCGGTGTGTGGGCAAGGGCCATTGCCCTCAGGGCCCTGTTTAGATGGCCCTCTCTCTTCCTGCTGTCCAGATCATTTTTTTTGGTGGCACACTCCTTGCGTCGGGCTTCTCCCATTTCATCCACTTTTCCCCCAGGGTTGTCACTTTTATTTTGAGGTAGGATTTTAGATGCTGAGCTGCCCAGGCTGGGCTTGAACTGGTGCCTGGCAAAGGTGTGTGTGTGTGTGTGTGTGTGTGTGTGTGTGTGTGTTTGTGTGAATGCAGTTGTCCAAGTTCCCCGGGCCCAAAAGCAGTCTTGGGCAAGAATGACAATGATGTTTCTGTTTTGGCATATTTGCCCTGCGCTGCTGATCATTTAGCTCGCATTGCCCTGGTTGTTGGGTGAAGGAGAAAGGAGAATGACTGCGATGCCCCAATCACACATGGGAAGACTGAGGATTTGAGAGATAAGATGGAATAGCCTAGGCCACACAGCTGGCAAGGGAAAAAAAGCTGAGTCAAACCCAGATCTGTCTGATGTCAAAACATATGGTTTTCTACTCTAAATCATATGGCCTATGCTCCAGACGCTAGCAAAGGTGTGAAGATGGGATGCAGCCAAAGCTGCTGAATCCTTTCCTAGCTTGGCTGCCCATACAGCCCTGAGCGGGGTCTACAGTCCCAATTCTAGTCTTGCTTTGCCATCAGCTTGCTGTGTGATGTTGGGATAGCTCTCACCTAGTCTGTGTGTCAGTTTCCTTAATGCTTAAATGAATGGAGTGGAAGATTTTCTGATTCTTCAGGGCCTTTTGAGCTCTGAACCTCTTGAAAAAAAAATTTTTTTTTCATTACTGGGGATTGAACCCAAAGCCTTTGCAGCGAGCTATATCCCCAGCCCTTTTTATTTTTTATTTTGAGATAATGTCTTGAGAACTAGCTAAGTTGGTCAGGCTAGGCTTGAACCTGTGATCCATCTGCCTCAGCCTCCCAGGGTGCTGGAATTACAGGTGTGCACCACCGTACTCAGCTTAAACCTCTTGAATTTTGATCCTAGCTAGCATAGTAGGTGGTATACGTCAGCTGGAAGCAGAGCTTGGGGAAAATCTCCATGGAGGAGCCTAGACCCTTAGTTATGGAGTCAAATTCAAATCCCAGCACCAGCTCTAGCTGTGTGACTGTGGACAAGCCACCTCCTCCCTCTTGTTACAGGCAACTAAGTTAGCAAAAGTATTATAGGCAGTCAGATAGGGCTAAGCCCTGAAAGGAGCCAGTGCAGAAGATGAGCTACCTTCCAACTGCAGGGGAGACAGGCCCTTCCACTGTGGACCAGACCTCAAGATAAAAGATAAACAAAGGCACACTTACTTCCTAAGGATAAACATCCGGGATTGATATTCTAAATAGGGATCAATCACCTTGAGAAAGCCAGAAGAGCCTCTAACCCAACCCCCTACAGGAAAAGCCCCTGTTCTGTATTCTTGCCGCTTGCTACGTGACCTGCTTCCCCATTTGATCCAGGTTTAAGCAATTTTACCCGAGCAATTATATTTGTAATCTTATTGGCTGGCCATAGTTTTGTCACATCTCACGCCCACCTTGTGATTACCCATTTTTCCCACGTTGGACCCGCCTCGCATTGTGGATTAGCTCTATGAAAATCCCTAGAAAAGGTAGGGTCCTTGGCAACCCACTCGGGTTCCCTTCCATCTCTCTAGGACAGAAGCTTTCTTTCCCACAATAAATAGATTCTGTTCTTTATTGCTGTTGTTCTTAAAATTCACTCTTCGATTTCAGAGAACACGAACTTGTACCAGACACCTAGCAGACTGGGAGTTTCTTTCCCCTTTATCACTGAGCCTCCACTATAGAATAGTTTTACTAACAGAAATTCGAAACATATAGAAAAATAGAAAGAAAATATAAAGAACACATATACCCAACTGTTAGATTCAACATGTCTAACCTTGCCACATTTGTTTCATCTAAAGCATTTTAAAGTACGTTATAGACAGCATAGAACTTTGCCCTTTGAAAGTAAACTATAGACAGCATGGAACTTTGCCCCCTAAATATTTTAGCATTTGTGTTCCCTCAAAAAAAGGGAACATTTTCTACCCATGAAGGTACTATTACAATTAATTAAATCCTTCATGTTATCTTTTTTTTTTTTTTTTTGTCTTTTGCCTTTTTGAGACAGGGTCTTGCTATGCAGTTCAGGCTGGCCTTGAGCTTACTTTGTAGCCCAGGCTGGTCTTGAACTTAACGATGATCCTCCTGCCCCAGCCTCTCGAGTGCTGGGATTACAGGCCGGCGCCATCAAGCCCGGCTTTTCATGTAATCTAATATCCAGGCCATATTAAAATTTCTCTGTTGTCCCCAAGCTATATGTTACAGATGACTTATTCATATCAGGATCCAATCAAAGAGCTTGTATTGTATTTGATCCCTGTGAATCTTAAGTCTGTGAGCCTTCTTTTTGCTTGACTGCAAAATGGAAGAAGAATCGTATCTAGCTCAAAAGGTGCTAGAATTAGAAATAACAATATTAAGGGATTACCCCCAAATACGATATACAATTATTAATTTCCTTACTGGTGCATTCTGCTCGAGATAGCAGTGTAGTGGTGTGAACAGCTAACAAGGGGTGCAGTAGGGTGTAAGCAGTAGAAAAATATCTTGAGATGTCAGCAGTATGGGCTAAGGATAAGGAGGCAAGGGGAGCCCAGCATCCTTGGAGACGTGGACTCTCATGCTGGCTTTGACCTGCCCTGGGTAGGAAGGCAGAAGCCTGGTCTCACCTTGACAACCTTCAGCACCCGCACCTCCTGGTCCAGCCCTTGCTCCCAGTGGAAGAACTCCTGTCTCAGGAACTGCTCCACTGTCCGCACAACTTCCAGCACCTCTTCCTTCCATTTCCGGGTGGGCTGCAGCCACTGAGACACGAAGGAGTCCAGCCTGGAGGCCGGGGTGCCATAGAGCTCCTGGGCCACGGCCATCTCTGAGGAGAGTCCCACCGCTGGACAGATATATAGCCAGTAACTTACTGCCTCCTGGCACACACCCTCTTTTTTAAGGAAGCTCCTCTCCTGCTGAACTCCAGCACCCTGACGGATGGATACAGGGACCTGAATGAAGAGGAATCCAGGGGTGAATGTGCTGAGTGTGGCTCCTTGGACACCCCTTGGAGATCCCTACTGTGACAGGTGTGCTGAAGGACACCTGGCTGAAGCCGGCAGATCCGGGGCCACCTTAACAGGGCTGGCATCTGGCCAACCTTTCTGCTTTTGGTTTCGATTCTCAACTTTTGGAGTTTCCTTCTTTCGACGTTTGGAAACTGAAATTGGCTGGGGTTAGATTTTCGGAGAGGCACGTCGCCCAGTATGTTGGAGTTGGATGAGATGAGTCATTCCAACTGCCCCCACCTATCCTAAGGAAACAGAGGCAGGGAAAGAGAAATCGCTTGCTCATGGTGGGGGTGGGGCGTGAGACCTCCTCAGTGGGTGGGACGGACTCACAATTTTTAATCTAAAGTGGGTTTGGGAATAATCCCCATCCCATGAGGCTGTGCTCGTGAAGAAGTATGAAAATACCGAGTGGAGATGCCACTCGGTCAAGGCGAACATCTTTCTTCGTTCACTACACATTCTTGCGTGACTGCTGGATGCCAGAGAATTTGCGCCCACTTTCTTGCCCAAAAGGGCTTCCAGAGCAATGGGTAGACTCCTACCGTCCAGCCTGATGGGTGCTCGGTCAGAAAAAGGCCATAGAAACGTGGTGGGAAGCCAGGCAGAAGAAGTGCTTTGAGTCAGAGATGGTGACGGAGACACTGACTGACGCGAATCTTAGAGACAGAGATCTAGTCAGGAGGAAGAGCGCTGAGCACCGGAAAAGGCCGGCAAGTGTGAACAGCCCTGGTGCTCACGTGTGTCAGCAATTCAGGTGTTGCGTGTGCTCCGCATGCGGGGGTGGGTGGGGGGGCAGGAGGCCAGAGGTGACAGCCGTACCTGGATAGGAGGGTGGGGATTGCATCATGGATACTGTTTACTGATTTACTCCTTCATGCAGGCATTTATTCATTCAATAAATACTTACTGGGCAACTACTATATGCCAGGTGGGTGCAGTGAATAGACATCGGCTTATATCTGATGGTAAGAATGCAGTAAGTCAAATGGGGCTGGGTAGAGGAAGAGGTGAAAAGGCTCTGTGTGTGTATATAAATGTAGTGTTTATGTGTTCAGTGTTATACTGTAAGGTGGCCAGAAAAGGCTTACCTGAGCTTGACCTACTCTTCTTTTTTTCTGGAAGCTTGAGGTTCAACATTAATTGTTTATTTGAGCTCACTCTGTTTTTCTGATATGAAAATTCACTGCTATAAACTTCCCTCATAGGACTGCTTTCATTGTGTCCCGTACTGTACTGGCATTATTGTTTAGTTGTAGAAACTGTCTAATTTCTTCTTTAAATTCATCGGTGACCCGTTGGGTGTTCAGGAGGGTGTTATTTAATTTCCATTGTTTTTGAGGTTCTTGTGGTAGTAATGACCTACTTGAAGACATTTAAGCAAAGACATGAAGGAAGTGAAGAATGAGCCACATGTATGAGAGGGAAGAGGATATTTCATGGCAGGAGGAATAGCATGTGCAAAGGCCCTGTGGCAGTAGTGTGGTTGGTGGGTTTGAGGAACATCATTGTGCCTGAAATAAAATGATCCAGGAGGAGAGGGGATTGGGGCTGAGTAGTAAAGGGAAAGGAGGTAAATAGTATCTTGAAAACTGCTATAAGATTCTAGCTTTATTCCAAATGAAATGGGGAGATTTGAAGCATTTTGAGCAGAGGAAAGACTTGGTCTGACTTTCATTTCAACAGAAAAAATCACACAGGTTTTGGGGCTGGGGGTGGGGAATTAGTTTCAAAGCAGAGGATGGGAGTGCAGGTGAGAGAGAGACCAGGGGTCCAGCAGGAGTCCAGGCCAGAGCTACAGCTGCTTGAACAGAGTGGTGCCAATGAAGGCAGACAGAGGTGAACACTTTAAACACGAACAACACTGGAATCATGGAATGCAACTCCATGTGCCCTCAGTCAGCTCCAGGCATTGTTATTATTTTTAAGTTTGCTTAACAAGTTTATTTTTTTTATTTTATTTTATTTTATTTTTTTTTCTGGTACCGGGAATCAAACTCATGACCTTGAGCTTGCCAGGCAGGTGCTGTGCCGCTGAGGTAAATCCCCATCCCCTAACTAGTTTATTTTAAAAAGGCATATTGACCAAACAAAGTAAACATTTAAACAGATTTTAACTTCTGCCCTAGAAGTGTTCCATTGAGTTTTAGTCTCTAAACATTTTTAGCTCAATAATTGTCATCTTCATCAGAGTCTATTACTTTTCTTTGGTTGAATTTAACTGCTATGTTCTTTCCTATTGGCTTACTTTTTTTTTTCAAGGATTTCTATTACATTTTATTCTGATACTCTCCCATGTAGCTGTCCATATCTTGTCTTCTGTATAAGGCAATGCTCTACTGCTTTTTTTTGGTACAGGGAATCGAACTCATGACCTCAGGCTTGCCAGGCAAGTGCTTATGCCACTGAGCTATATCCCCAGCCCTGCTTTTGTTTTAAGATTTACAATGCTAAGTTGCTTAGCCTGGCCCAGGCTGATTGGCCCAAAACTTGGGCCAAGGCACTGTGTTTGGTCTCTGTTCCCCTGTGGTTTGCTTCCCTTGTGCTGAATCATTAGGTTCCCCATGTTTTGCCTGCAGCTCAGCTGGGCTCTGCTTCCTCAGTGCCTCTGCTCAGCAGCATGGCCGTCCTGTGGCAGCAGGAGTAGCCTCTGTCTAGCCTGCCTGAGCTTCAACAGTTATCAAGTTATAGATAATCTTCTTTTAACTGTACCTCATCCAAAGCTTCTCTTCGGTATTATATGGAGGGAAATCACAGACACACCATCCCACTCGATATATTCTGACCGTAAAGCTAACAGATCTCGCTAATGGTAGAGTGGTGATGTGGGAGAAGGGTCCGATTCAAGGCGTGTTCCGAGGCTTTGGCAACTGGAAAGATGGAATTGCCCTCAGTGGCGGAGAGCAGGGTCGGGGGAGGAGAAGGCTGGTGAAGAGCACAGCGTGGACATGAATGGAAAACTGAATTTTGGACCTGAAGTGTGAGATGTCTATTAGAGACCCAGGAGATGTGGAGCAGAGAGTTGGATATAGGAGTCTATATTTCAGGGAAGAGGTATGGATTTGGCCTCCTCACTTGGCACTGACCAGCATAGAGATAGTTAAAGCCATGAGACTGGAAGAAGGAAGGAAGGAAGGGTAAGCAAAGAAAAGGGATCAAGGACTGAGCCTTAATGCATTTGATATTATTCAGAGCTTGGGGAGTTGTAAGAGTCCAGCAAAGAAGAATGAGGAGTAGCTAGTAAGGTAGAGGAAAATCTGTAGTGGTGTTTTGGAGGCTAAGTGATGATACTGTCTTAAGAAAAAGGAAGTAGGGGCTGGGGATTTAGCTCAGTGGCATAGTGCCTGCCTGGCAAGCGGGAGGTCGTGAGTTCGATTCCCGGTACCGGAAAAAAACCAAAACCAAAAACAAAACAAAACAAAAAAAACCCAAAACAACAACAACAACAACAACAAAAGGAAGTGATTCATTGGGGCATGTGTCAAGGGAACCAGCTTTGACTTTATCCTGAGGGTGGTGATAAATCAGAAGAGACACGTGATGAAGTTAGACTCTAGAAAGCTTTGCCTGGTGGTGCTGCAATGAGGATAGATTTCAGGAAACAGGAGACAGAGGGAGGTGGGTTGGGATGGTGTGGCGGTGGTATGAGACGCAACAGTGGCCAGACCAGGCTAGAAGCAGTGGAGGTGGAGGGAAGGGATTGGCTTCTAGGTGTCTTTAGAAGGAAGTGGAGACAGGACTTAGTGACTATAGGTAGGAGGAGAGCGCCTGAGAGAAGACAAGGATGATCCCAGCTCCCTGGCTTGGTCCTTGCTATGGTTTAGCTCTAACATGTCCCTCCAAAGCCTTATGTGTTCAGAGGCAGGGCTTTCGGCGGGCAGTTGGATCATGAGGGCACTGAATGGGCTGTTAGGAAGAAGGACTTGGCTGGAGGAGGTGGATCACTGGGGCGTGACCTGGAAGGCTGCATTCTTGTCCCCAGCCTTTCCCCCACTCTCTGGCTTTCTTTCTTCCTGCTCTCTCTGCATCCTGGCTACCATGGGTGGAGCTGCTTTCCTTCACCACGCTCTTCCACCACCATGTTTCTGGTTTGGAGCCAACTGACCACGGACTGATGCTTTTGAAACCGTGAGCCTAAATAAGCATGTTCTTCTTAAGGTTGCGTATACCAGGTATTTTGCCCCAGCAATGGAAAAGCCGACTAGTACTGTTCTTGAGTAACTGGTTGGAGGCACCATTAACAAAGAGAGAAGGAGGAGTGTGCATTAGCCATATTTCTAACGCTTCTGTTAAGTTATATAGGTCTAAGAAGGATCCAGGAAGCCATTGGTGACCAAAGTGGGTGCAGTTTTATGAGACATGTGGGAGCAGAAGTCAGATTATAATGGGCTGCAGGGGAAGTAGGGTGAGAGGAATGGAGACCAGGAGTGTAGATAACCTTTTCAAGAAGTTTGTCAGTCATGACATATTTCAATTTATACTTTCAAACCGGCTGACCTCAAATGGAAAGCATCATTTTTTTTTATTACATAAATTCTAAAAGTTCTTATGCTTCCAATGTTTGGTAGAACCTAGCCCTTAAACAATGCCATATTATGGCAGTATAAAGTGTAGTGGCAATTTCACAAACCTAAGTCAATAACAGTGTCAGACGCTAGCATTTCCCATATGTTTGTGGTTACAGATGATTAACATCGAGGTGACATAAGAATCACTCAAACATGAGCCATTTAAACCTTACATATTAGATTTTTGCTCACCATCAACTCTGAAGGTTAAGCAACTTTCAGTCATTCAGCCACTAATATGCTAGATAGATTTTGAAGATTTTATTTTATTTTTTGTTTTTTGTTTTTTTTTTTGGTCTTTTTCCGGTACCGGGAATTCAACTCACGACCTTGCACTTGCCAGGCAGGCGCTGTGCCGCTGAGCTAAATCCCCAGCCCCTAGATTTTGAAGATTTTAAAAGGAAACATAGAGGCAGTAATGTATTGGCTTTGTGCTTTGTCACAATGCTGCTCAGTTGAACGTGCTTCTGTGTGGAAGGAGAACCCATGGATTCGAAGGTGGTGGGCTAGGTTTGGGGCAGGAAGAGGATATATGAAGGTGGGTATCACCTTGACTTGGGCTCCTGTAATACAGAGAATGAGATAAAGGCTCACACAAGGAGGTGGATTGTTCTGGAAATGATTTCAAGGGAGGAAATGTGGGAATCGAGAAGGCCAATCTGAGGAATATTATTAAGTCAATAACTACTGTGGACAACCGGGACTCAGCTCCTCTTCTGAGGAGCTGTGTAGAACGTGCCTGAAAATTGTGGCCCTGAGAGCTGGAAGAGGGGACGCTGCTTCCTCTCTGCCTATTGCTCTAAGGGCTGCCTTGCCCAGTGTTAACACCCTTGAGCTTCCAGGCTTGTGTTATGCACCATAATGGCTAAGGGGACACCCACAGATGCGCTCTGTGGGGGAGTAGAGAACACCCTGGTAGGAAGCAATTGTTCCTGTCAAGTGGAGAGAGACTGTTGAAGAAAATAGATTAGAAAAAGTATAAATCCAGGCTGCTATGGTTTGAATGTGGTTTGCCCTCTCTGAAATTTGTGCTGCAGTTAGTTTAACGTCCACTGTGTGGTATGAAAGAAGTGGAAAGTTAATCTGACTATGGTGGTTAAAGTTGGGGCCTCTGGGGGTGATTAAGATCAGATGTAGTCAGGAGGGAGGAGCCCTCAGGGCTGAGTACTGGCAGCTTTACAAGAAGGAGAGAGGCCAGGAGAAACACACAGAGGTGCACTGCATCTCTTGCCACATGATTCTCTGGGCCATCTTGGGGCTCTGCTAGTAACAAGGTCATTACCAGATGCAGCCCTGGGACCTCAGACCTCCAGAACTGTGAGCCAAAATAAGCCCCTCTGCAGCTTCACCTGTGTGTGGTATCGTGTTATCAGCAACAGAAAATGGCTGAGTAAAGTGCTCTCAAATTTTTCCCATCTCCGTATGCACCCCTGGGCAATATGGTCTTTGCAATTCCTTCTGTCAAGAGATGAGTCAGTATCCCTTTCCCACAAATCAGAGCATGGCTGCACAGCTTGCGTTGACCAATGGGACATTAGCAAATATCGTTTAAGATGTGGAGCCTAGGCTGGAGAGGAAAGGAAGTCAGCTTGGGGTATAGAAGACATGGCAAGGTCAGTAGTTCAAGGTTCTTCCTCCTTGAAACCTTGGGGTTTTCTTTTCTGAATCTCTTCTTGGAGCTAGTTCAAACTCACTGGGTTCCTCCTGTTTCATCCCCACCCGTGACACGGAGCTTGTGCTGATGCATTAGTGTATCAGTCTGTTCTCCGCAGACTCCTAGAAGCCCACAGGATCGTGCGTGCCCCCTGCTTAGAAGTAGGCAAGGTGATCTTTATTCCTCAGTATATAATAACCCTGCTCACCATCACCATTCATCTCCTTGTGTTCAGGCAAAGTAGCTCAGCTCTTGGGCTTGTTGCTTTTATGTACCTGCTCCCTGCTATGTACCTCCTCCTTGCTCTCCTTGGGCAGCACAGGAGAAAGCTGTACCCAGTCTTAGGCCATCCAGAGACCAGAGACTTTCACAAAAATTTTGTCAGTGCCTACTATTACAATTTTCCTATCCTCTTTCCTGGATACACATCAGAAGGGAGACAGCTCCTGCAGATTCTGGACCCAACAGACACATGCAGGCTTTTGGGGATATCATGTAAATGTAGGCACAAATGAACTCTACTAGCCAGGACTTCACCATACTGTCACAGTTAGCAGCAATGGAGGTTGGAAAATGTAGTCTGCAGCCCTTTGAAGTGTGCCTTCTGCCAGGCATGGTGGTGCACATCTGTAATCCCTGCACTTGAGAGGCTGAGGCAGGAGAATTGCCATGAGTTCAAGGCCAGCCTGCACTACATAGCAAGACCTTGTCTCAAATAAACAAAACAAAACAAAAAGCATGCCAGTTACTGTGGAGGTAAGGGAGATAAAGTATTGAGAGGAAACAGAAATTGCTGCCATATCTATTTTGTATTTTTGCTGTTTTGGCTCTGGCATAGGACTAGGAATGCAGTAACTGCCAAGATCAAAGACGACACAGTTTTTGAGAATTACTTGTACCCCCACCCTAGGATATGAAAGGGGAACTTAGAGGGTATAGGGGAAAAAACTAATAACTGCGGGTAGCTGCTACATTTACCAAGGGCTTATTGTATGCCAGGAACTGAGTAAAGAATTTTATATGCTTAATGCTGAGTTTCCATATCCTCAGCTATGGGGGAAACAGTTATCAATCTAAGCCTGTTGTGATAAAATAAATGCCAATTACTCTGCTGTCTCTAGCACACAGAAAAACTGGCCAAGAAATAATGGTTCTCAGAACTCATAGTAATCTGATTAGTGTAGCCCAGCCAATGGATTAAGTCTGTCTTGGGTCAGGTGATCAACTCTGGTCTAATCAGGTTAGAGGGTGGAGTCACTTGGTGGGAACAAGAGTTATTGATGGGATTGAGAAGGTTGACGTGGTGATAAGGCTAGCTTTCAAGGCATGTGTCTACTGAGGGAAGTGCAGAGGTGGGAAAGTCCAGATGATGTATGAAAACTCCAGGAAGTTCCTGCTATGGGTGCCATGATTCTCCTTCTGTAGAAGTTGCTTTCCAAACATCATTTCTTGTTCTCTAAGCCTTTGTATTCTCATCTGTAAGGTGGAGAAGGGTTCATCCAACTTCCAGGCAACTGTGATGATTAAAATCAAATGATGTATCTATATGGTATAAATGCCATATAAATGCATAGGATTATTGTTATTTTTAGTACTGGCAATCAAACTCAGGACCTTGTGCTTGCCAGGCAGGCACTGTGCTGCTGAGCTATATCCCCTGCCCTGTACAGGATTGTAGGGACTCGGTCTTTCGGTGTACCCCAGGGAGGTGCAGCAGCAGGAATGAGGAAAAGAGACAAAAGCTGGGTCGGGTGGAGGCCTCTTTACTGGATGGGTAAGAGAACCTGAACACCACCACTAGGGGCGTTTATTTATACTCTTGCAAAGTTAGTATCATGAGACACAAGGGTGCCTAGCAACTAATGACCAGAATTGTCCAAGTAGGATGCTTTCCCAAGACTGAGGTAGCTTGACTGCTTTAGGCACTGTGGCCTGGTTTTGCCTCCACACATATAATCAATTTCCAGCTCCAACTGCTCCCAACATAGGATTATTAATATATTGAGGAATAAAGCAAAGAATTTTATTGAGCTGCTGAGGCAAACCTTAGTGAAAGGTCTTGGGGCAGAAAATATGTCCAGTCTGATTTACTCAGTGACTGACTGCTCATTCTACTGAGGATGAGGAAAAGATTCAGGGGGAATTTACTAGAAAGTCAGGCCTGATATCTCACAGGTTCTCTCCCTGGGAATCTATGAGAACTTTTGGTTCTGTCTCTTCTGTATGTGGCTTTGCTCTCTGTGACGATGGTACTTTCTCTTTACTAAACTATGGGCTTGGGTTTGGGTTGCCCAGACTCCTCCAGTCTTGTCTGCAGTTCTGCTTATAGGATCACCCTCATTTAACTATGCCAGGAGCACACTGTACCTGGTACCATGCTTCAGGATTCAAAATCAGATTGACTAAGTATAGCCAAACCTTGGAAGGATTCTATTCTGATGCCCTTTGGTCCAGTTCGGTTTAGACAGAGAGGAAAGGCAGCATTGGGTATGAGCAGGGAGAACAGGTCGAACATGGCACCTATGTAGGTATTGTAGGCATTTCCCAAGAATGAGACATAGGCCGGGAGGTTCCCCAAACAATGTGAACTCTAAATTTGCATTGGACTGAGACCCCGATAAAGACCATAGTGGAAGATTCAAAGCCATGTTTGGAGGGCTCATTCTTATATTCAGTAAGTGTGTGCCAAGAGTTGATACTGGGTAGATACCATTGTAGATCACAGAGGACAGAAGTAAGACATAGCTTTACTCAAGGCTCATTAGACCAGGGAATAGACGATCCAACAAAGGAACATAGTGAAGGCTCAGGTACTTACACAAAACTTAGACCAAAGTGAGGGGAGAGGATAAGGGAAAAGGAGGACTTGGCCCGTTGTACAGAACATATAGCAGTGGTCCCCAAATTGAGCATGCATTAGAATTCTTTGGAAGGGCTATTAAGACACAGGCTGCTGAGTGTGATCACCTGAGAATCTGACTCAGATTAAGTGTGGGTGAGTAGCAGGGAATTTTCCTTTCTCGGTGGTTCCCAAGTGATGCTGATTCTACTGGTGTGAGGTTCACCATTTGATATTCAGTGATTTAGAAGTTTGGGCATTGAAAGATGGAAGCATGGAGGGAGGGGATGACAGGTGACTTAAAGTGATGGAGTTGTGACCCAGCAGTCAGTGTTCTGGAATTGCAAGTGTTAGGGAACATCTGTGTTCTGAATGGTGAGGAGAGCTTGAGGAGGAAGCAAGGATCTTGAACTTCACTCTGTAGGTAATGGGGAGACATTCGAGGATTTTAAGCAGGGCAGGGTTATGTTCATATTTAGGCTTCAGAAAGAGTACAGTGAGCAGAAAGGGGTAGGATGGGGGGAGAGGACCACAGGAGTCTATATCAAAGGCACTATTAGGCCCTTTAACCTTCTAATGAGCACAATGGTGTCACAATCTTTGATCTGCAGGTCTGCAAGGTTCTGATGATTGCTCAGTTTCCGGCCACGGAACTTCAGTAACTGCTCCTCCACAAGAGGTCCTCCAGCTTTGTTAATTTGCTCTTTCAAGACAAGAATGGTGCCATAAGGATTAATGGCATAAGGCCTGCTCTGGCCAGTAGAATCCTTCACGAAGACCTGGATCTGATAAAAGAAGGTCTCCAACACCCGGATGTTCACCTTAGAGAAGATCCCATAGCATGCCAGGGTCTTCTGGCCGCTGAGCAGTTGCCTCTCCCCTCCTGGCTCCTGGAAGGAGAGATGCTGATTCCCCAAGATGCCATTTCTCATCTTGATGTCTGCCTTTATCCTCCAGATGGGGCTATAGGGATTCACCGAGAATGTCCAGTCCTCCTTCCCTGTCTGTTTCACTGTCACCTGCACATCCCTTGCTTGCTGGAAGGGAAGGAAGAGCAGATAAAGGCATCTGGACGGTCATGACTTCCTATCATCTCCAAAGGCTAGTCCTCTGGCCACTGATGATTTAATGTATCATCTACCGAGACACTTCCAAAAATAAAAGGAGGCACTATTCATAATTATGTGGGACAACAGGCATAGGATTCTTTCAAGCAAAGGAACTATTTGGACATCCTAGGTTTCCAGAATCCTTAGGACTCTATCCTTTGACTCAACATACTGGAGTAACAACAGGTCTCCAAATAGCACTTGTCCTATGTGGAACTATTCAGTGTCCTTGCCTGTTAGCCAGTAATGGGGATGTCACAGTGCCATCATGAGGTCAAACAAGGTAGTATTTAACAAGTTCAAGGACATTTGTTGCAACAGCAAAAATCTGAAGGCATCTAAAAAATCTCCCACAGATGCTGGTTATATAAATTAAAGAACTTTCATTTATTGAATTATCATAATAATTCTGCTGAAAAGCTGCTGAAAAGCCCATTTGGACCAAGGAAGATTTTACGTTCTTGTTCCTTTACTCTAGTCCAGGTAGTATGTTCCTTGCCCTGGTATAATTAACATCCATTTCAAGCTTGAAAGGGTCCTGACTTGGCGCCGGGCATAGTGATGCACGCCTGTCACTGCGAGTCTGAGACCAGCCTGAGCTACAAAGTGAGTTCAAGACCAAACTGAACTGCATAGTGAAGCCCTGTCTCAAAAAGACAAAAGAAAAAGAAAAAGAAAAAAAAGGAAAGTGTCCTCCTGATTTGGACTTTATGTGATATGATTGTACCAATTAGGTCCACAAGTGTGGCTAGGGATTTGTCTTTAAAATGATACAATTTAGGGGCTGGGGATTTAGCTCAGCGGCAAAAAAAGC